GCCTGGGCGGGCTCCGCCACAGCTCTTTATATGCGCCAGGAGCGGACCACGTTGAGAACAACAACAGGCAGCGAGGAGGCCGGCTCCAAGTTGTGCTTTTTGTGGCCCCTTCGGCGAGCTCTCCCGCCCGCGTCCGGCGGCCTAGGGTCGGGCTGCCGGCGCCAGCGGCTGCTCCCGACGGTGCCTGACGGAGCTGCCCGGGCGCCGCAGCCTCCCGGGGCTGGGAAAGGTTCCCTGGAGGCGATTTTAAGGGCGCACCCTATGCTGGGGGAAGGCAGAGGATGGGGGCGCCCTGTATGGAGGGCTCTGGGGGGCCCCGAGGGATCCGCACGGCACGGCCAACGTGCGGACCCGGTAGAGAAGAGGGCGCCGCGTGCCGCTGGCCAGTCGTGGGGCGCCGGTGACCCTCGGGGGGGTGACTAGCCCAGGGTTAATTTGTTGCAACTAACACACTGGACGCCCTCACGTGGTCGGCTGCAGCAGCAACGGAGCTGTGGAGCTCATTCCAGGGGGGTCCCCGCCCGATCTGGAGGGGCCGTGACTCAAGGGGTTGCGGGGCTCAGAGAGGGCAGGATTTGGCCGCCCAGGGATCCTCGGTTGTAGGGCGGCAGCACCTTCCAGTTTGGGGTAGAGGGGGTTGCAAGCCCTCCCCCTACCACGCAGGCACTCCCGACGGAGGCGCGTTTGGTCTCTAGTATGAAGTGGTATGGAAGGGCAAAGGGGCGCTGCTATCTGTGCTGCTTTTGGGGGGCGAGGAGGCGCGATGTATATTTACCATAGGAAATGCCCAAATTGGTGAAACAACCGATGAAGCGAAGGTCGGGAGGGGGGATTCTTGAACAACCAGGTGGAGGAGCCTGCAGAGAAGGCGTTGGGTGCTCACTCACTTTATTGCTTTTGAGTTTGTATATATTTATATTTGCGAGTTCATTATATCAGCCTTGGTAACTCCTGTTAGATGGGGTTGGGGTGGCCATGTCTCAACTTGGGCTTCGTGCGGGGAAATGAATATGGAGGATGTTTTCAGGATCTTGCCACTTGTCTTTAAAGACACGGGTAACATTGCAAGGCACCCGGAGATAAGAGGGTATGTAAAGTCTAGCCACGAGAAGTCTCTCCGGGCTACTCCGCACCCCACTTCGAGCTACCCAGGGAGGGGGCGGCGCCCTTTAGTTTCTGGTTAAAAGAAAGCGATAATCGGAGGCGTGCAAAACGGGGAGAAGATCAGCGCCGCGGGGTGGGGGCGGTTTGGTGCAGCGGCTCCTTTTCAGCCAAGGCGCACCTTGGGGTTTTTTTCCCTTTTCCGGATTTGATTGGAAACAGATCGAGTGGCAACGGACACTTCCTTCGGGGAGCAGCTACTGGCGGCAGGAGGCATCTTGCTCCGCACGCGGGATGCCATGGATTTATCGCGCCTGCCAAGTCTCCTTCCCGCCCCCCAATTTGGACAGAATTTAAATTCCCTTTTACCCACGTTAGCTTATAAGCTATCTGAGAGGGCGCCCGATCCGGACGCATTTAAATAAGGGGGGGCGTATATGCCCCCCATAGGAAGGGGGCTGGCAGGGAAAGGGGGGGCGGGGCGGCACCACCTCTGCTTTAGAAGTGCAGACAGCCCTAGCCAGTGTTGCCAAGAGCACTCTGTGTGTGTGTGTGTGTGTGTGTAGGAGGGGGACGTTTCTTTTTATATTAGGGGGTGGGGAGAGAAATCTTCATGCAGGGAAGAAAACGAAAGCAACCCAGCGCGGTTACTGAAGGCAAGGGAGCTTTTTAGCCATGGAATCCGCCTACACCATCAAAGCCTCTTCTCTGCTGCCACCTTTTAAAGCTGGTTCACGATCGCTCTGGGAGGGAGAGAAGCAGGCGCGTTACACCCACTTTCAACTGCATCCTCCTGCGCAGGAAAAGTTACCCCCACCTTCCTTTGCCTTGAATCTGATTTGCTTCTTATGCCAAAAGGGAAAGGGGGGCGGGGAGGCAATTCAAACCCTCGAGCTCCGCAGCTTGCTTTCTCGCTCCCCCTCCCACTTTCGATAAATCTGACACCCGTCCTCTTCCTCCTCCTCCTCCTCCCATGTCTTATTATTTTCTCCGCCATTTCGCTCGCTCTGCCTCCCTCTTGCACGGCTTTAAAAAACAGCAGTTCTGTGCAGGAGGTAAAAACCGCGCTCTGGGGAAGAGCCCACCTCGTAGACGTCTTGCAAAGCATGTTGGGATGAGGTGGACCTCGGTTTACCACACAGCTTCTTCTGCTCTTAAGCAAAGGATCGGTTTTAAACCCATTGGTTATGCCTTAGAACGGCCAGAGGTTTCTATGTAGATGTAAAAAAGCACGTTGGTGAACCGTGGGGATTTTATTTTTAAAACCTGCAAAGCTGAGACCATATCACCACACTGCTTCTCATCTAACTTTTGTTTGAGAAGCAGAGTTCAAATCCCCATGCATCCAGGTACCTACCGACTGGTCAGTTTGACATTGATACCAGGACATTGATACTAGAACAGATAATTAAACCGTCCATCTGTAAGCACTTAGAAAAGGAAAAACCCAGCATGGGTTTCTCAAAAACATGTCATGCCAGACGAATCTTATTTCTTTTTTTATGGAGTTACAAGCTTGATGGATCAGGGGAATACTGTGGACATGGTGTATCTTGATTTCAGAAAGGCTTTTGACAAAGTCCCCCATGATGTGGAGAAGCTGGTAAAGTGTGGGCTAGACATGGTAACTGTTAGATGGATTTGTAGCTCCTTGACTCACCGAACCCAGAGTGCTCACTAATGGTTCCTTGTCTCTTGGAAAAGTGACAAGTGGGATGCCACAGGGTTCTGTCCTGTGCCTGTTTCTGTTCAACATCTTTATAAATGACTTGGACAAATCAAGGATAAGATAATCCAATTTGCAGATGACATGAAACTGGGAGTGGTAGCTAATGCTGCAGAAGACAGAATCAGGATTCAGTATGATCTTAACAGATTGGAGAACTAGACCTAAACTAACAAAATGAAATTCAATAGAGACAAATGTAAGGAATAAACTTAGGCACGAATAACCAGTTGCAAACATAAGATGGGGAACACCTGGCTTGCCAGTAGTACATGTGAAAAGGATCTTAGTACCACAAGCTTAACAGGAGTCAACAGTGTGATGTATCAGCAAAAATAATAATGCTACTCTAGGCTGCATCAACAGTAATGTCCCAGTCAAGGGAAGCAGTAGTCCTGCTCTGTTCTGCCTTGGTTGGATTACACCTACAGTACTGCATCCAGTTCTGGGCACCACAATTTAAGAAGGATGTTGACAAGTTGGAACGTGTTCAGAGGAGGGCGATCAAGATTATCAAAGGTCTGGAAACCAAGCCTTGACAGCCTTACAAAACTGAATTCTGCACTTTTCCCCAGGCTCTGATGGAATCACAGTATACACACATCCCCAATAATAGGGAGTACAGTGTAAAATATGGAAATGCCAAAGAGCATCAGCTTATAGGTTGGCCAAATTTCCACATGGAACCCACTAGAGAAAAGGGAGTGTTAATAAACAAGCTAAAGAATTACCAACCCAGTGTGGTGTAGTGGTTAGGAGCGGTAGTCTGGTAATCTGGGGAACCGGGTTCACATCTCCGCTCCTCCACATGCAGCTGCTGGGTGACCTTGGGCTAGTCACACTTTTTTGAAGTCTCTCAGCCTCACTCACCTCACAGAGTGCTTGTTGTGGGGGAGGAAGGGAAAGGAGAATGTTAGCCGCTTTGAGACTCCTTCGGGTAGTGATAACGTGGGATATCAAATCCAAACTCCTCTTCTTCTTCTGACCAAGGCAATAGAGTAGGCCTGTTACTTCCCTTGAATGGCTTCCATAACTTCCTAGCCCTTCTTATTACATGTGTTAAAGATGCACAGCACTCAGAAGTTTTAATAAATTTTATTCCAAACTGCTTTGGGGCTAGTGGCATTGGTGATTTGGAATACATGGTCAATCCAAGAGTTTACCACTCTGTCAATGCATTATTAGCTCCTGCTTTTGCCTTTTTGAACCATAGCAGCTTTGCATGTGTGTGGAATTGACAGAGGACATGCCCAGTTGCCATGCATCTCAAGCCTTGTTAGAACCCAGAAAAAATAAAATTTCAGTTAACATGCAGGATATCATTATCTACTACACTCCTATGTCCTATACAGGACATTGCATTCCCCCAAACAGGCAGACTCCCAAGAAAAAAGCTAACCTATTTTGTCTAGTCTTCCAACTTCCAAAATATTCTAGCTGATATTTAAGGATACTCAAGTGACAATGATGGGGAAGGCTATAGAAAATCCAAATTGTTCTATGCCTAGGAGAAAGGAATTCATTATAGACCAGTTACTAGAAATGAAATCATTAATATGAACTTTTCATTGAATCAGCTGGTCCAAAACAGCTTTTGATCTAATAAAAGGAATCAGTTGGGGGGATCCCTTTTTGCTGATTACCTCTGTACCGCCACCAACTTCCACCCTGTTTTTTTTGGGGGGGGGGCTTTGAATCAGCAAAACTCTCTTCTGTTAAAAGATGCCTCTGCTGGACCAGAAACCCTTCCCTGGGGTCCAACCCACTGATGCCAATTCAAGTCATCACAGAGCAAATATGAGGTTTTCTAATGAGGGTCCATCAATATGCTTTTGAAAGAATGTAGATCGAAGACAGTGATCAGACCATTCCAATTTCTACAGAACTATGGTATAAGTGAGAGCACGGGTCCAAAGCAAAATAGCAACTCCAAGTTCAGCAGCATTTTCTAACTATACTACAAAGGCAACAGCCATTCCCTGTATCACAGCAGAAGTTTGCTGAAGGTATATTGGAGGGCAGCTGTCAATGGTTTAAAATCCATAAGTGAAGACTTGTTGCCATGACAATTTTATAATTCGCAAGCATTCTTGGTGTTCACAACACAGAAATTAATAGTGGGCTCTGCTATGACATTTTCAGTTCCTCCTGGGTTGTTTTGATTTGTCAGCTTCTACTTCACTGGAGCCCTGGGAGGCCTGGTGTTACAAGATGCGGTTTTGAACAAGTCATGCTTTTCAAGTGGCAATTTAGTTTGATCAGTGAAGTACGCTTGAAGAGACTGAAGCAGCTGGCTACACTGAAACCTGCAACGGCAGAAAAGGCTGTGCCATCGCAGCGCAGCTATGAAGTAAATCAGCTGCAAACCTCTTTTGGAAGACAAAGAGAACATTTCTGAGAAGAAACCATAGACCATGAAAAAGGCAAAGAAATTTAGAGGAGCCCAAACCATATTGCAACAACCATAGCACATATCCATTTTGTGGCATTCATGTACCATATAGCCATGGGTGGATGTTTTGATAAGTGAAAGAAACTAGCTGCACAGGCAGAACAAATGTACAGCAATCTGCACTGAAAAAAACAGTTCTCGATCTACCTTGTCAAAGGCATAAAGGTGGGACACTGCAACAATCCTACTGACAATAACCATACCAGAAGGCCTGTGCATACATGGTAACGGAAGAGGTTACATTATATACTGGCCTAGATCATCCAATTATTCCTGACATTGGAGGTGAGCACCATCACTGAATGCCCGGAAGATAAAGAACAGCAGCAGCTCCTTGAGAAATGTTCTAAGCCTTTCCCGCTATAGAAGAATTTTACTCTGAAATACTACCAATTAACTGTGTTTGCTTTCTAGAGCTCAAGGCTTTTTGAAAATCACATTGACCTCATACACAACCCACTACCATGAATGCATGGTTTCAGCATTGCCGATGTTCAGAGAAGCAGAAGTGCTCAGTATTTTTATCCATGTTTAATTTTGGAGGGATACTCCACACATGAGATGCCTTGAATCTAACGCTTTCATGAGTCATCTATATGGCTAGTGGCTTATATAGTGGTAAGGTTTTGGAGCCAGCTATTGCATTAAAACAATCCGTCCTACATTGTACAGCAAGGATTTGACCCCATTTCTGTTAAACAACATATACAAACTACAGAGTGGAGGAACTAAATATCTGTTCCTTCTGATATGGAACAAGAAACTGCAGTACAACAATGAGAGCTCTATTGTTCTCCAGGCAATTAGTTAGCTATACAAGACAATGGCCCAGTTTGCACTCAGTGCTAAGCCAAACCATGGCTTAGCACAAATATGCAGGTGTGTGGGTTCCTGGGATGCAGAATGCAAACCCTGTGCTCCTTCCCTGGTCCTGCTGTGCTACATAGGAATAAGTCAGGGTTTAGCATTGTATGAACCTGTGGTTGTGGTTGGTTTCTGCTCAAGCCAAGAACAGCAAGCCAAGAACAACAAACCTCGAAAATGGGCTCAGTTGCAATGCCAAACCTTGGCATAGTTCTGGGTAGCTGGCAGTAACAGGACAGGGCGTTTGGGAGAAGGCTTTCAGCAGAATTTTCACTCCAGGAACGCATTTGCTCATTCATGCTAAGCCATGGTTTGGCTTAGCTTACATGCAAACAAGGTCAATGTCAAGCCACAGAAACTATCCATATAGCTCATGATGAGAATTAGCATGGTAAGTCTGAGCATGTTAATGTTTGCTGTCACAACTTTTCCCTAACAAGAATTAAAAATATTAAAGCAGCACAGCTTTACTTCCTCGCTGTTGCAAGCAGTAGCTGAGATTTCTGCTTCATTCTACCCTTTCCCTGGCTGGCTAAGGTTATGCTAAGGGGAAGTAATAGAACAGTTAAAAGTGGGCAGTGGACAAGAAGAGATTAAAATTAGCTCAGGAGCTTCAGTTTCAGTAACGTGATAAAAATAGAAACAGGAGCAAGAAGTTTTGTTCTTGTTAAGTTTATTGGCATGTTTCTTTACAGAAGAGCTCTGCCTACATACTAGAATGTAGACCTCTGGGAAAAACAGTAGAAGGGCTCCATTTAAGAAAGCTACAAATGCAAGAACAAGGAGAGGGCAGAACAAAGTTGCCAAGTTTCCATCCAGAAAATCCAGACTAGTGACAGTAAGAGAGAAAGGGGAAGGTGCTCTTAGTCACCAAGAATGACCATCACAACCCATATGGAGATTGTTCTACAAGACAGACATGTTAGATTCCTCTTTACATTTGCAGAATTAATCATGAAGGGTGGTGGTGGTGGTGGTGGTAAAAGGCAAACAAAGTGATCATTCTGAAAGCTGTATTTAATTTTTCTTTTTAAGTCCAATAATCCAGTGTGCAAGGTTATGCAAATCATCCTTTGAAGATTTAGCTACAAAGAAGCCAGACAATATTTTTCCAGAAGATGAAGCTTTTTGGCTCTTATAATCAATAAAAATGTTTACATAATTCTTGCTTCTACTGTACAGAATACTGCCTCTATCTGGACTTGTGTTGCTAGCACACGGCATTCCACAAGTGTCCTGTTCACTTCCTAAACAACCTGTGTTTCAGTACTTAAACATGTAATTCAAGAATTTTACACTAATTTATACATTTTAATTGGTTGCATATATTAACATGTACTATAAGATTTCTCCTAAAGAAGCCATTACATAATACGTGGATACTGTAAAAAGATCTGATTAGTTAAAAGTAACAAGCATTAACAGATACATACAAAACTCAACCTAGTTGGATCGAATGCTGAGCTTGCAATGAACTATGAGTAATCAGCCTTTCCAGTTGCAGCCTTCACAGGGGAAACACAAGACATTAAAAGGTAAATTGTTACAGATTCTGTACATAGTTTCTTTCCGCTGGGACACCTGGAAGTAGCTTAAGTTCCAAACATAGTTTCCTCTTTTTAAAACTAGGAGAAAGGTCTGCTACCATGAAATAATGAGATGGGATGTAGGGACATGGGAGGCGTGAAAAGGAATGGGCTTACAAGTTGTTCATGGTAAAATGGGTGATTTTGGCCACTGAAAATAGGATCTCGTTTTTCTTTTTACACAGAAGAGGGGCTGTGTGTGTATGTGTTTGAAGGCCTAAGTGTGATATCTGTTTGTGAAGGACTGTTCTCAACCCCTCCAGCCCCACCTCAGCAGCTGCAGCTCTCCGCAGAGGCTTTCGCCCGGTCATTCTTGTCTAGTTTGATAGGTTCGGGAAATTCATTGTAAAGCTCCACTTCAGTTTCCTATAATGAAAGAAAGAAAATGTCACCAACTACAATTTGGTCCTTTTATTCAACTAAGTGGGTGCTAATAGCACCACTTCACCATCATGCCCAATACCTGCTTCCCCAACTCCTGTTCTCTGGAGGAAACAAGCAAAGCAAAGTCTTCCTAACTTGGATGGAACCAAGTTAATACTACAGTTTATGACAGGAGAAGGTACAATGTAAAAACCAGGTGCAGCACACCTTGAAGTGCCATGAACTGAAACACACAGTTCCGACTGTTGATGACGTAAGAGGCATCACTGCCTATGGGGATGTATGTTCATCCCACTTTTGCCTTTGAAAACAGGTTTTTGCAATGTTTCAGAATCCTGTTCAACTGGAAAACATATTGGACAAATGCCAGTGCACAAAGGCATCAGTGCCTCCATCACCTATCTCCAGCCATCGCCTGGTTTGATATTGCATATAGAATAAGGACCGGACTGCCAGAAGAGGGCACTAGAACTCATACCTGCTTAAGTGCATTTCGTGCAATTGTTTGGAAAGCCTGTTCCACGTTAATGGCCTCCTTGGCACTGGTTTCAAAATAAGGGATATTGTTTTTGCTGTAGCACCAGGCCTGTGCTCGTTTTGTAGTAACCTGTAATAGAAGCAAACTCCTTTAAGCTCTTTATAATTACCAAGAGTCAACCGCATTCATCTTCCATGTCCGTACCAGCCATCTTTTTTCACTGCCAAATAGCACAGCAATTTGCATTGCTAAATGTAAAACCCCATGTTTCCCAGAATCCCCAGGAAACATTGTTCACCAACTGTTCTCCCCATTTCCCCCCCCCTCCACTCCCATTGTTTTCTCTTCACTATTTAAAAATAGCAGGCTTCTGCAGACAGGATTCAGTTTAGCATCCTTAGGAGATCCTGGTTAATGGTGGTAGATTCAGAATGTATGCTTTGATAATTATTCTAATTAAACCCCACAGTATGCATCAACCAGCTTACTTGTCTGTTTTCAAGGTCAATCTTGTTTCCCAGCACAACAAAAGGAAAGTTCTCAGGATCCCGCGGACTGGCTTGAATGAGAAACTCATCTCGCCAGCTGTCGAGAGTTTTAAATGTGTTGGGAGCCGTTACATCAAACACCAGCACGCAGCAGTCTGCTCCTCTGTAGAAGGCTACTCCCAGAGACTGAAACCGTTCCTGCCCTGCTGTATCCCATATCTGCAAGACATTGGAGAAGAACTCTTAGGGACAAGCTCAGATCAGGCCTCAAAATCATACTGACTGAAGTTCCTCAATGCCATAACGCTGCTTGTCAGAATGTCATACAAATTTGGAAGGAGCACATTTGTGCTTTTGGAAAAAGTATCAGCATGCCCCTAATGGAGAGTAGGTTCTTAAAGACCAATAGTGCCAATAGTTTGGCAAGTGAATTTGGAGCAGCCTGCCAAATGTGGGAAGGAAGTGCCTTTACCCCTTAAACAAAGCAGGACCATCTAGAATTACAAACCATTCCCCACCCCACCCAGTTCAGAAAATTGCAGGCCATGCAGGGGAAGCTCCATGCCATGCTGAGCTATATAAGAGCAGGCTAGTCTTTAGTCTGCATGGCAGAAAATAAGCCTCTCCTTCTCAGCTCTCCTGCATCCTATACTTGTGCCTGTGATTTTTTCTACCTAGATGCAGGACTTCACATCTATCTGTTAAATTTCATCTAATTGTTTTTGCTCAGGGTTGTTTTTGCTTGTGGTGTTGCTGGGAGATGCCCAGCATTAGAGCAGGTTGCCAGAGGGAAAAGTTTTGTGATGCTTCTCAATTTGCCCTCTGCCCTCTGCAGGGTAAGGGGCAAGCCACTCTCACTTCTGTCGCTACTAACAAGACACCATAACATAATTTAAGCATTCTGTAGATATTTGACAACGGCTAGTTTAGAATAGTTGTCCAACTATCAAATATGCCATCCCTAGTAAGATCTGGATTCTTTTCCGCTCGTGTCAATGCATCAAGGGTCTCTGTCTCTCACGCACACTCACGTTTGCCACTGCCTCCTCCAAAGGCTCGAGAAGAGCAAGACATGTTCTCAACAGTGTGCTGAGCCTTGGGACCACCAGTCAATCATCCTATTGCTTTCCATGCATCAATGCAGGGCCTGGTGTGACTGGCTCTTTCGAACTGGGCATTCCTCCCTACCATGCTGTTAGCCCTATCAATGCTGTCTAGCAGAAAGGCAGATTATAAACACCTAAACACAAAATACAATTTGTAGATCTCTGCAAGTTGCAGAAATGCAACAGATACAATTCTTACCTGCATTGTGACTAGCCTGTCATCCACCATCACTTCCTTTGTGAGGAAGTCGGCTCCTATTGTAGCTTTGTACTGGTTACTGAATTTCTTGTTCACATACTGGTTCATGAGAGATGTCTTTCCCACCCTATGGGAGGAGGAAGAGAGAAAAGCCATAAGGATACAAAGAATACATGTTGTTGTGCACACACAGTATGCAGCCATATTCTAATTACAGAAGAATACAAGTTACCCTGCATCACTCTTGGATTTATTCAGGAGTGTTTTAATCCTTAGGACTACAACTAAAACACTGGTGCATTGGTGGCAAACTTATGACTCTCCAAATGTTGTGGCACTCCCAATTCCAATTAGCCCCAGCTGGCATTGACAGTGGTCAGGGATGATGAAAAGCTGCAGTCCATCAACGGGGGGTGGGGGGGAGACACGGGACGACAGGATGCCGACCCCACCTTAGATCTGAAGGTACGTGAGACCACCACATTGCTGAAGCTAACAGGCCAGAGTCTGGTCTGGGTCTGCATGTAAGACTGTTTGGAAAGCACCTACATTGCATTGGGTTTCATGATGTAAGAATAGCAGTATATAAATGAAAAAGGTAAAGAAATCCAAACAACTAACTCCTCTCAGGGGTCATTTCAGTGGTGGCCCTGTATTAAGGTGCATCTGGGATCACTTCCTCATAACGCATTTAACTGAGAATACATCCTAATTTGTTCACAGGGAGATCAGAAGATGTTGCACCAAGCAAATGTCACCCTCCTCGCCAGTGCATTTACCTGTCACTTTCCTTCTTGCAGAAAGTATGATCTTTTGTTGAAACAGTTAGTTGAGCAAGACCTCAAAATCAACTTTAACGGCATTAAATTGAATTTACCACAATAGAATTTCACCTGAAAATAGCAGCAGTCTGGAAGCACCCAAAGCCTGTCAGTTTGCTTTGAAGTGGGCTTTGAGTGTTTTTATTGCCATCTGTTTTTTACTGAAATGATCTTGATCTTGAAATGCCATTGCTCAGTTTTCAATTACAGTATAGCTTTTTTCTGGTCTGCCTGGAAATTTTTGTATCCTGCTGTTTAACATGCATTTTTAAATACATGTTTTTAAGTTAGTTTCAAGTGTTTTTGAAAGGCAACATAAAACCCTAAAAAATAAGACAATTCAGCCCCGTGTTTAGCATTCTACTTATGAAAGAAATAGTTCACCCTCCGATACATCCCTTTAATAATTTGAGATTGAATTAGGGTCAGGAACAAGTTATCCCACAGAATAACTGAAACAAGAGGCTCAGAGATTGCATGAGTTATCTGAAGCAGCACTTTCAAATATAATGATTAGATGAATACATCAAATGCACTAACAGTAAGGTGGGTGATATATTCTTTGTCTGGAAAATAAAGGATTCATTTCAACATGCCAACCTTCACAAATGTGGAATTAAAACAGCAAATTGTGCTGAAAGCCTTGTGTCTTTACTGGACTAGGCTTTAATTCCATTAGTATCTTTAGGTGCTGAAGTGAGCTCTTTCATAAGACCAGTATCGAGATGTGGCCCAAATTTATTTTCTATTGAAGCGACTCTGCCTATTAGGTGATACAGGGTATGAAAATATGTGAACAGTCTGTAACTGAGGAAAGGAAATCAGTATGGATGGAATAGTTTTGGTCTTTCACTTACACCTTTCCTCTAGTATGATACAAGATCATATGTGTGTACAACAGATTGTTTAAGGAAGCTTCACTCTATCGACTAAGAGGCTGGTGTGGCACATTAGCAGAATTTGCTATTTCACAACTATGACTGCAGCGGCCAATCTCTTTTACAGAGATGTACTCAATATGGCCACAACATCTTTCAGAAGCCTGGGCCAAGTGACATCAGATCTGTTTATTAAGAGTAGAATTTGGGTCACATTACATTCCAGGCAGCAAATATGAAACTGCTTTTCCACTGACAGTTGTGAAACAGCTTTACTCACAAAAAAAACCCCATCCATTTGCAGTAAGCATTTGTTATTCTATGACAGCATGGTTTGTACCACGCTGCTTTAATGCCTAGAACACTGCTCTTAAGAGAACTGGTAGAGCTTTATGATCATTGATTTTTCTGTCGCACATCTGCTCTCTCTCGTGGGAAGCTCCAAAAAGCCTGGATTTCCTCAGCCATGCAGTACGTAGGTGAAGCTGTTAATTGCCTAGGCAGCATAATGCAGGTAGGATGTTTTGACAATTTATTCAGCACTGAAGGTTAGATCAGGCAGCAACAATATAGTTGTTTTTAAGTTTACACACCATCTGACTCTGAAGAATTACTCTACAATAAAAAATAGTCTTAATTCTACCAGGGTTATGAGTTTTTGTAAAAAAAAAAAAAAGGTATCTGTGTAATTTGAGCCTTTAAACAATTTCCCCAGCAACTACAGACTGAAAGTGGAGTGCTGGCTTATTTATTTTTATTATTTTCTTCATTATTCTTGAACTTGTTTCAAAACCTAAATCCACTTCTCCCTTTTGTGGTAATTCACACAACACATGCAACGCTGCAGGCCAAGTTGCTTCCTTTACTTCTGATCACAATTCCATGGCAGCAACATTTTGCATTTCAACAAGTGTTTTCCTGGATTCTGCATGGCTCACTGATGCTGCACAGCAATTTATACAGTGCCAGTAAAGCAAACAAAACTTAGGTAGCTTCCCAGGTAAGATAGATAGGTCCCCCTTTGTAAAGAGCTTCCAACTACCCCAGCCATATGCATTTCAAATGAGCGTTTTATGATGCAGCAAACATTGTGCTACATCCAATAGTAACAGACACCACTTTGTTGAGGCTCCACTTACCCTGAGTCGCCAAGGATGATGACTTTGAGTAATACTTTCTTCCTAGAAGTCATTGTTCAAGGGTTCAGAAGATCAGTTCCAAGTGCACTTACTGGACCAAAAAAGAGAGAGAGAATACTATTTTTTTAAAAAAATATGCAGCTCATTTGCTGCTTGCAGCATCTCAAAGTACAGGACAACCGATGAGCAGGTTGTGTGGCTTCAAGCTAGGTTAACAGGTACGTACTGCCTCTTCAGATGCATACTTGTTAAACCCGTAGGGTTTGGCCTACTCTTATGACTAGAAAACACGAGGACCCATCAGGCTCTTCAAGTTCTGGGAAAGTCTGGCCATGAAACACAAGTAGTAAGGAAATAAAATGTATCCAAGCAAGAGCAGCAAAAAGTTGCTTGACGGGGAAACTAGGCTGCCACACTATCTAATAATGAAGAATCCCAATGATTAACAAGGGCTTGCATGCAACATACTTTTTTTTTATCCAACTGCCTGAATGCTAACAGTCTTAGTCAATGCTACTATGCACACCGCAACTTCAGTCCTCTTTAGGCTTCAGATTTCACAAGGATTATCCCTTGTGAAAGAACAAAGAGTCTCATCTTACCCCTATTCTATGCATGAATCATGCATTACTAACCAGATTAGACTCTGCAGCAAGGACTCCAGTTCAAAAGTCTTAATTTTCACCAAAAGATCTATAACAAGTTTAGAAAGCGGTTTGGCTATTGCATAGGGAGAAAAAAGATGCTCAACAAGATTCAGGTTTACACACACCCTTCAGGGATAAAAACCCCTTCGATCTACAGTGGCCCACTGGCAGTTAGTTGCAATGCTCTGCAATGTTTGTATACCAAGTGCTGGAGAATGAAAACAGGCAGCAAGGAAGCTTTCACAAGCAGCCTCTTCCAAAGGAAGCAGGATGAAAGGAGAGCAGGGGCTTTTAAGAAGAACCGATGAAGGCACAGGAGCAAGGAAAAGGTTTCACAGTTCTTTGAATGCTGGACAGTCACTATTGTCAAGGTAGCAGCATCTGTAAGTAGTTCATAAAACAGCTATAAAGTTCAGCTGGTCAGCAAATGTAGAAGAGGAAAATATCACAAGGGGCATGCAGCAATTAACCAAAAGTTCTATATGCAATTCATACACCAGAGATTGCTAAGCTGCACTGACAGCTTATGACAGCAGCCTTTTGCAGCTTCTTAAAAAAAAAAAAAAAAAAAAGTACGGCAATGGTTAATCACTGGGCTTGCTCATTGAATGAACAAACTAGTATCTGTACTCAGTTCCTTAGAATTTGTTGTTTTAGCTAGCACTTAAGGGACCCAGACATTGTGCAACGGACTCACTGCTGTAAACTTCTACTGCAGGCAAGGGAAATTTCCATCCTGTGTACCATATTAGGCCCACACTATTTATTATTTTGATAAGCATGAACTAATATGCAATTGACATAAGTGACACATTGTTAATATCACATTTTAGCAGAAATTGTTAATACACATTTTATTTGGTGTTTAAAATAAAAATATTGGTACCATACTTCAGTTTTCAAAACACTCTACTCTTTATTAAACTCCTTAGCATATTGTCTATCCTTAGCATATACTTTGAGGCTTCAAAGCACACACATTTCAATAATCCTTGAGTGTCAGTCAGGCACAAAAAGTGGCACCCAGATTTTTTGAAGTGCTCACAAATGGAGAATCTTTAGATGCAAAATGCACCTGGTGCCCTGCTAATTTCAAGCCCAGTATCACAGTGTCAGGCGAATGACAGGAGGGCAGTCCCACCCTCTTCAAAGTGGTCCACAATAGGTGGGTGAGGTGAGGATCCAGCACACCAGAGGTTCCCAACATCTGTTCTAGAACTCTGATTTTCCACACTGACAAACCCAAGGCAACTCTTACTTCAAGACTTAAGTGCACAGCCAAACTCTAAGTGAAATCATTTTTAAGAGATCACCTAAAGTATCCATGAATTTTTACTTGCTTCATGCTTTTGAAATTATATGCAGAAATGCAGCTTGAAATAGTTCTACAGAAATTCTCTTTTGAGCTGCATAAAAGCACTACCACATAAGCTTCCCATTCCTGCAGTGTTAGAAACTCAGATACAGTCGTACCTCGGCTCCCAAATGCCTTGGGAGTTGAACGTTCTGGCTCTCAAACGATCGGAAACCGGAAGTGAGTGTTTTGGTTTTCGAATGTTCTTTTGGAAGCTGAACGTCCAGTGCTGCTTCCACTATTGTTTCCGGTGCGCCTGTGCAATCGGAAAACAATCAGAAGCCGTGCCTTGGTTTCCAAACGTTTTGGAAGTCATACGGACTTCTGGAACGGATTCTGTTCAACTTCCGAGGTATGACTGTATACAAGTTAGGCACCAAATGGCTCCTTAAACCAAGGCTGCAGTTGCCATTTTGGTTAGGACGGCTCTAAAGTCTTATTTTTCAAATGATGGACTGACTGATAATGATTCTCAGCTCAGCAGACAATTTTGAGCTGGTTTAAGAGCTTTTAGAACTTAAAAGTAGAAAAGTCACTTAATCCAGGGCCTATTCTGATCTTTTTTTCTTAAAGGTGACTGCTCCTGCTCAGGCTGCACAATAAAAGCAATTTGGTTCCAGAAATTCATTCCAATTGTGCAGATAAAATGTAACTGATAAAATTCTACAGGATTGGGTATTAGTGTGTGAAAACAATCTAGATCCAATGATCCCCAGATGATGGAGATGTCAGACCCCCAGGCATCCTCACTTGGTTACAAATGGTCAAAAGCCTGGTGCCATATGCGCCTGCCGCTTGGCTAATTTCAAACACTGCATACCTGTTTGAGGCATTCAGTCTTAAAAACCCCACACAACCAAGGAACGCTAGCAGCGCAGCAGCACACGCAGTAGTGCTTAGGAGAGTGTGTTACTGCCCACAAAAAATAAACTAGAAAAGAGTTACAGAGCATGTCAGATAGCCACCTAACATTTTTTAAGGTGGGAAACGTCATGCTTGGTACACATTTTGTTTTCCATCTAGACACATTGAAAGAGCTAATGATTTTGGTTACAAGGTGTCTCATGTCTCCTGTTTGCTATTCACAGCAACAGCATTGCATTTGAGCCAACTAGCTTAAGAGGAGCTACACAGGAACAACTGGTATGTGGAAGCTTCCACGTAGCTGAATTGCTGTACAGTGGTACCTCGGGTTACAGACTCCGCTAACCTGGAAGTAGAACCTCGGGTTAAGAACTTTGCCTCAGGATGAGAACAGAAATCGCACAGCGGTGGCGCGGCAGCAGCGGGAGGCCACATTAGCTAAAGTGGTACCTCAGGTTAAGAACGGACCTCCAGAACAAATTAAGTTCTTAACCAGAGGTACCATTATACTAAAAATGGGTGAGTTGAATACAGTGGTACCTCTGGTTACAAATTTAATTCCTTCTGGAGGTCTGTTCTTAAGCTGAAACTGTTCTTACCCTGAGGCGCGTTTTCACTAATGGGGCCTCCCCCAGTGCATGTGCCTCTGGCGCGCGATTTCCGTTCGCATCCTGGGGCAAAGTTCGCAACCAGGAGCAGCTACTTCTGGGTTAGCAGAGTTCGTAACCCAAAGCGTTTGTAACCAGAAGCTAATTCCTCTAACTGCACAATTTCCAAGGAAACACTAGTGACTGCAGATCAGTTTTTCTATTACTGCTTGTCAAAGAAGCCTTGTCCCTTCCCACTGAACGATTTTGTCAGGCACAAGGCAACTTGAGGCATTATAATTCTGTTGCAAAAGCACGAACTGTAATAGCCTCAAACATTTTGGTACTGAAATTGTCTACTTAAGAAATGGGCACGTGATATAGGCATCTTTGATGAAGCAGCTCAAAAATATTAAGACCAATACTAAGATAATCAGAATATCCTACCTTATGTCAACTTGTTATTAACCTGAAAATTGGCTTAATAACTGTTCCTTTAGACACCTCAGATATTGCCCCAGCATTCTCTCTTGCAGCAAAATAAACCCGAGACAGTTACCAGGACTTTTGCTTCTTACTGAATTCCAACAGCTAGCATTGCTCACACATAGTAAGGATGAATACTACCATTGAAAAGTAGTTTTTTTGAGTCACTTGTGAGAAATACTTAATAAGTCCATGTGACAGCCACAATTAGGAGAGTCAATTGTTCAAGAGTGGCTGCCTCATGCTATTCAATATACAGCCTTGGCCAGTTCAAGCACTTCTACCACCAAGGCATGACTAAGGACTCCTGAAGACTCAGAAGGATCACATGCTTTGTAAACATCCACAGAGCCAGAGCTTCCTAGTGACGAGCCAACAACGCATCTCAGTTTCAGGCTTTATATAAATCCTCCGTGCCCTGCTGCAAATTCAACCTTTGGTGATCAGCTGGACTAGTTTAAGTACCGTATTTTTCGCCCTATAGGACGCACTTTTTCCCCTCCAAAAATGAAGGGGAAATGTGTGTGCGTCCTATGGGGCGAATGCAGGCTTCGCACACCTCTCCGCAAGCAGCGGGAGCCCAGCGCTGCGCTCCCGCTGCTTGGGGAGAGGTGCCTGCATGCTGAAGCCTGCGCGCGCTGAGCTCAGCGCGCCCAGGCTTCGCGGACCTGGGGGGGAAATAATTTTTTCCCCTCCCCCCCCAAAAAAAACCTAGGTGCGCCTTATGGGACGGTGCGTCCTATAGGGCGAAAAATACGGTACATCATGAGTAAAGTCAAATTCAGCATTTAGTTTTGGGCCATTATATTCCAATTACTCCAGAGGCCTGAACAGTTTGGAGTTTGCCACAATGAAGGCCAAGGTGTTAACAACTACCTAAACCAATGTTTTCCAACCTTTTGCCAACCATGGCCCTTTCAGACCGTGTTTCCTTCCTGTGCCCACCCCCCATGGTCCTACCAGTAGAAAGGTAGCTATTTAAATGTTTTGTTTGTAAATAGAGTATGTTTTATTTTATAATTCATACCAAATACAATTACATTAAATGGTAGGAACCCAATAAAATATTGTTAAAGCAGAAAAAACAAAGAATCATAGAGTTTGAAGGGATCCAAAGTGTCATATTTCTAGTGCATCCCCCTGCAAAGTAGGAAACTCAGCTAAAGCATACATGGCAGATGGCCATCCAACCTCTGCTTAGAAACCTCCAAGGAAGGAGAGTCCAGAACCTCCCAAGGGAGATCCATCTTTCATGTATTATAAAAAGTAAACAACACTTATTTGACTTCAGTTATTAGACAAAGAGGGGGGAACATACAGATTACAGTCCAAAACCATACCCTCCAACATTTCTCCAATGAAAATAAGGATGTTGTATTCCGTAGTAATAATTTTACTATTTATACCCCACCTATCAGACTGGGTTGCCCCAGTCACTCTGGGCAGCTTTCAACATATATAAAAACCATAATAAAACATTAAACGTTAAATAAACTTCCCTACACAGGGCTGCCTTCAGATGGCTCGGGGGTCAGATACCCTTCAACATTTTTCTGGTGAAAATAGGGACGTCCTAAAGAAAAGCAGGGCATTGTGGAATCAAATCAGAATCTGAGACAATTTCTGTAAATCCGGGACTGTCCCAAGTGGTCCTCACTGACCTGGTGCAAAAAGATCTTGTCATCTAGAGCCCTGGCTGCCTAGATAAAACACTATAGCCCCACACACCTTCACCTGGGAGTAAGCCCCACTGAGGTCAGTGTGGCTTTCTTCTGAGTAGACACTTAGTAATTTACTAGATACAAGTCAGCAGCACCAGACCTTATTGGCTAGGCTCTGGGGTGGATCCCTGATCTGCTAGGTGCTGAGGTGGATTGCACCCCAGCGACTTGCAGAGTGTCCCAGGCTGCCACCAGCACTGGCAACAGCTACAAGCAGTGATCAAAACAGGAACCTTAGCAATCACCCTCTCCAGCTGGAAACAAACCAGGGCTGCTCCAAGAAAATGCACGTGGCAAAAAGAAGCACTAGGCCACCCCCTTACCTGCTTGTTATTGGCCAAGCATATAGCCAGCCAATCAGATTTTTTTTATTTTTAAGAAAAAGATCTTTTTATTTTCTTCTCACTTCACTCTGTGCCCCCCCCATTTATGTAATTTTCACCGGGGGGGGGGGGGCTGGAATATCCTGGAGGCCCCAGCTGGGAAACACTGACCTAAACCATACAGTCAGCAGCTGTCATAATGGAGATTGTAAGGAAAACTAAGAGCTATGCATTTTTAGGATTTAAGATGCCTTCTGCACCAATTAGTACCCCTGGTGTTCCATCAACTCTAATTTATGAAGAAGTTGGACTTCCTTCAATTGTGGCCCAAGTCCATAATTAACTGTTTTTAAAAACTTCAGATACAGTAAGATTCTTATTATCTTATGATACCTCAAGTTATAGAATTGGCTCTCCCAGAAACTCTGGAGATAAAAAAAACTCTCTCAACATCAGGGGCTGGAAACCTTTCCAGCCCAAGGGCTGGATGCAAAAGTAGGCATGCAAATGCATGTAACTCTTACCTTTGTACAATAGATTTATATTCCAGCTGCACAAATGCCAGAGGTTTTTACAGACAAAGCTCCCTCCCTCCAGAATGAGAGGCATTTGCACTATTCAAGGAAACATTCCAGGCAGTCAAAAACAGTGTGGCCTGGACAGAGTCCTGAGGGACAACTACAAAGGTCTGGAGGGCTACATTTAGCCCCTGGCCCCCAAGGTTCCCTATCCCTGCTCTATATACTCTTGGATTACCCAAATCACAGATGCTAAAATTATTGCTCTTAAAATTGTCTTTGTTCAAAAAGACTGAGTTTTAAGTTCAAAAGCTTCCAGCTGAACTTGACTATGTAAAGATAAACACTGTAGAGCTCCTATTTGGTTTAATCTTGCTTTTCCCAAGCTCAAGCAAGCCTTTATGGCTATTCTCAGAGTATGCCATTGACCATGATTGATGGCCAGTACTGCTGGGCTCATCTGACTCAGGATGCAATGTGGAAGATCTATTTTATGCTTCGTACTTAATCGTACTTCGTACTTTGCCTACTTTATCGGGATTACATTCAGCATCTTTTTTCTGGAATGGTACCTTTTTGTACTGGTTGCTGCATGGATATCTATTTATGTATTTATATTTAGTTAGTTAGTTATTAAGTACTGAACTTATATGCCGCCCTATACTCGGCGGTCTCAGGGCGATTCACAGAATAAAATCAAAACATAAAACCACAAAATACACAATCAAAATAAAAACAACAACCCAATTATCCCCCCTCCAAAAGCCACATTTTAAAAGGGCATAAGATGTCAATCAGATCAACCAAAGGCCTGGTTAAAAAGGAACGTTTTTACCTGGTGCCTAAAGGTGTATAATGAAGGCACCTGGCGAACTTCCCTAGGGAGAGCATTCCACAGACGGGGAGCCACTGCAGAGAAGGCCCATTCTTGTGTTGCCACCCTCCAGGAGGAGACACATGAAAAACGACCTCAGAAGATGATATCAGGGTCCTGGTAGGTTCATATGGAAAGAGGCGGTCCTTGAGGTATTGTGGTCCTGAGCCATTTAAGGCTTTATAGGTCAAAATCAGCACTTTTAATTCGGCCCGGAAACTAATTGGTAGCCAGTGCAGTCGGACCAGGATTGGTGTAATATGCTCAAATGATCTTGCTCCGGTGAGCAACCTGGCTGCTGACTTCTACACTAGCTGAAGTTTCCGAACCATCTTCAGAGGCAGACCTATGCATAACACATTTCAGTAATCTAACCTTGAGGTTACCATAGCATAGACAACAGTAGTTAAGTTATCCCTGTCCAGATAGCGGCGTAGCTGAGCCACCAGTCGAAGCTGATGGCAGACACTCCAGGCCACTGAGGCCACCTAAGCCTTGAGTAACAGCTAAGGATCCAGCAGCACCCCCAAGTTATGAACCTGCTCCTTCAGAGGAAGTGTAACCCCATCAACAGCAGGTGATCTCCCACCCATCTGGTCTAGGGTACCACCCACTAATAGTGCTCAGTCTTATGTGGACTGAGTTTCAGTTTGTTGCTCTCATCCAGGCCATTACTGAGGCAAGACACTGGTCCAGTACTTCCACTGCCTCGCCTGCAGATATAAAGGAGAAATAGAGCTGAGTGTCATCAGCATACTGCTGACAACATACTCCAAACCTCCGGATAACCCCACCCAGTGGTTTCATGTAGATGTTAAACAACGTAGGGGATCAATGTTCCCCACCTTCAAACCAGCCTCTTGCTGCCCAGACAAGAAAACAAGGTCCAGAGTGTGGCTTGCCATGTGCTTTGTGCCAGGGACATACTGGGACAGCCCCATGGTTGTCATGGCAGCCATGAAGTCGTGAGCTGCCCCAGAGCCTGAATGTTGAAGTCTCCCAGAACCAGCAGTCTAGGAGTACCCAACACCTTCTCTGAGACCAGTTCTGTCCGCTCAGGCAGGGAGATTGCTGGGCAGCGAGGCAGACAGTAAACCAGCAGAATCCCTAATCTGTCCCAATTGTCCAATGCCAGGAACACACACTCTAGATTCCCACCCCACCCCACCCTGGACAAAGAGCCTGGAGATAGAGACTTTCTATAAACCACAGCAACTCCCCCTCCCTGACCCTCGAGTCTAGCCTGATGCTGCACTGAGTGCCCAGGCGGGCACAGCTGGGTGAGACCAACTCCACCCTGCTCACCCACCCAGGTTTCAGTGAAAGATGCCAGATCAGCCTCCTCATCCATAATCAGATAATGGATGAGGGAGATTTTATTCTGGACCGACCTGGCATTCAACAGCATCAGTCACAGACCCGAGGGCTGGCTGATATGACAACCACAATTCCCCAGGTTGGAGAAGGGGGCTGGCACACAGCACAGTCACTAAGTACCTGTGCCATGTGCACCTTAACTGGTCTGCCCCACCTCCCATGCCATACCTTCCGCTACCCAGAACCACTGTAATTGGGCCTGCCCCTGCTTTCAGAGAAAGCTAGAATTATCAGGGTGATACCCAATTTAATTTTATTGCTTTCTTCATCCTTTGTTTTACTGCTTTCCTATCCTCGAGTCTGGCTTTTGTTTACTGTGCTTTCTATACTTTTTTTAAACTATCTGTATTTTCAAATATAATTTGTTGCATACCTTTGAGCCGGTTTGAATCTCAATTTTTGCAAAGGCTCTAAGCAATAGAAATTTGACCTGCTCAATGAGTGCAGAATTAGCAGTTAAGGTCTGCATTACATTTTTAAAGGAATATCTGGCACCTTTAACACTCTGGTAGTTACCACTGCTTAAGGAATGCCATGAATTCACACAACGTTTGCTACTTCAGCAGTCAATGGCATTTAGGGGCATGGTGTGTATGACCCTCCCTAAATATTTTTCTTTTGAAATAACAGTTTAAAAAACTATAACCTGTAACCTATCTACTGTGTCTGTAACAGCAGTACTTCACTACATAGAGTATGTTTTCAGATTTATATATACTTCGCCAAGAACCTTCCTGTTTTAGAGTGATGCTGGAAAGAGGCTCTTAGGAGTTTGGAAAAGGTTTGCAAGCTACTTCTGATATGCCAGATACTACCTAATTCACACCATGTTCCAAATTCTGTAGTTCCAAAGCATTTTCTACTCATTAGAATTGTGAAGATTTTTTTTGCTGTTTTACTGTTTTCTATCACAACAGCAATTTATTTATCAAACAGCTTGCATAAAACAAAAGCTGAATTAAGTTATTACAGGAGAGGTGGGGAACCTTCAGCCCTTGGGCCTAGTTAGGCCCAGCACATGCCTCAATTTGGCCCGCCAAAGTTTCCCACAGACCACAGCCACCTGCCACATACCTGAGGTCACAGGCAACATCAAATGTGAGGAAAGGGTGGGTCCATTTGTTCCTTTGCAAGTGTGGCTCCCTGTCAGCACCAATCAGCTGATTGATGCTGAATGGAAGCCCTGCTGGGAATTCTCTAGAGCAGTCAATCACCTGACAGATGAGTAACCATGCCCACTTACCCAAGGTGGCCTATTTTTTGGGGGGGGGGGATTTTGGAAACTGGCCCATCAGCAGGATCCAATTCCAAACCCCTGCATTATTGGGGTGGTCTCCAACCAGGTAATATTCAGAATACAGCAAGAGAAACTGACTTTTAGTCATTTCTAATTTTAAGCACATTAATTTTAATGGATCTACTCAGAGCATGACTTAGATAGTACCCATAGTTAATTTGCATCTGCTAATGTGTATATATTACCTCACATGGGGCAGATTATTCTGTATTTGGCCACAAGCAACTAAACCACCATTTCACAATCACTACCAGGTAGAATGTAAATTAGGACACTGCAAATTTAAAGACTACAGGGCGAACTATCAGTCACATAGGTAACAAGTCAGCCGCTACTAGCCTTGCTACTTTACTGATTTCCTGTACACTTGGCCTGAATATGCCTTTACGCTCCTGACCAGTTGCTGCCTCCTTTAAAGAGGTATTTGGACAGCAGGCCTGTCAAGTGCCAATCTGGAGGAATGTAAAGAGTCAGAAGCTTCTGGAAAAGTACAGGTGGCATCCATACCGGTTCAGCAGCTCTACATATATTGCATCTGATGAAATTGTCAGTTCTCCCATATAAACATGGGACCTACACTGTGCCACAGATAGAACAGGCTCTTTCTGCATTACCCTTAGGAGTCAGAAGCTGTTCTACTGAGTTAATGCACCGGTATGTCTCAAAGCCTAGCACACTGTGGCAGGTTTGTGCTTCTATATTGTAGAGCACAACTATGAGGGGAGGGGCCAAAAGAGAGGATACCTTGAACATGCTATGCTACTTTGAAGGAAATAAATTCAGTTAAAACTGAACAGTATTTCAGTTTCTGCACATATTAAGCAAGTTCCTCTTGCCAACTTTCTTTCTGGTGGCATGTCTTCCCTCCTCCTGTTCACTCCCTCTGGTGTCCATAGGAACAGTACTTGGCTCAAGGCTGCACAGTCAGATTACAGCATCATGTGTGGGCTCAGGGTGCTTAATCACTTGCCCCCCCTCCTTGAGAAAACACTCCATGTCTGCTTCCCCACCCTGTCAGAATGAGTCTTTGACTTTCTATAATGGTTTTATATGCACTGTGAACTCAGCACAGTTGAATGATTCTTTTGGAAGTGAGCAGAAGTATAAGCGATCAGCATTTCTCCCCTGAGTTTCTAAATGCAGCTAGGATAGAGCCACACATTTGAGTGGCAAGTTGTACTTTTCCTATAAATGCCCCTCCTCAAATTGAGAAGCAGCAAAGACACTAGCAAAAGCTTCTGAACAGCTGAAAGTGGCAGTTCAGCCTCTGAGGAGGTAGGGTGGAACTAGGCTTTGCAGTCTGATGTTCTCACTTGGTTGTTGCCAGACCCTAGATATATTAGAATGGTTATTTCACATGGTTTTTCAAAGTAAGCTCAAGGGCATGCAACACAAAATCTCACTGCTAACGCATGAATGATTCAATGGATTCGTCTGCCTTCAAATCCCTAACTCTTCACCACCTAGATCGACAGTCAACTTTGGCACATCAGCCCTGCCTCCCACAGATTCTGGAACCACTAACAGTTGATACCTAAACATGACTGCCAGTGCTTGCTTGCTTCTAGTCCTTTAGTTCCAAGCTTGAGGCACATGAAAGCAACAGAAAAGGATTCAAGAAGGGCTCAAGGTAGGAGGGTTCCATTAGCATTACAATGGTATACTTACGTTACAAGGGTTTGAAAAAAAATAAGCTAGATACAGAAAACCAGATAAATCTATTGAGTTAACAACAAGAACTAAAATGAGTAATTCGTTAAGCAGCAAGTACAGGTAAAGAAGTTATCCTGCCACACAACCTGTCCACAAGATAAAGCAGAGTACTGGACTAGTTTTAGATCAAGTCTTATTTCATCATTATAAAAACTTCTAGCAAGGGAACAACTCACCTGGTTAATGTAACTGTTTCCTTACCTAGCCACAAGGAATTACTATCCTCATGATAGTTTATCAAATATAAACCAGGCTTCCATCTTACCGAGCCTTCACTTTTAATCTGGGCACAATGGGCAGTTTCAAACTGCCAGATCACACAGGCAAATGTATTAGACAACCTGTGTACAAGCTGAATTAGTGAAGCACTATGATTAAGTAACAGATAAGCCCCTCCCCTCTTTGAGAAGACACCCTATGCAATTTTTATTTAAGAAGTCAGCAATGCTAGATCTTGTATGATACAGGAATACTTTTAGTACTCAGGAGAACAATGCAAATCTTTCTATCAAGCGTTTATGGTCTCAACTCTGAATTAGCCTTTATGGCAATTAAAGTGCCACCTCCTTTAAATTTCACAACACTCAGTAATTTACAGGTTCGTATTTCACAACAGCATCTAAAAAATTTAGTTAAGAATAACCTGCTTGCTTAAACAGGCAATACTTTTTGCCAACCCCAAGGTTTATTGAGTGCTCCATGTTCTGGACAAAGTTGTGCTTCCATTAAAAGATCAGGTGGGCAGCTTGGAGACCTCCTGGCTCTATTACCACCATTGGAGGCACAAGTGCCATCCCCCAAGTGCAGGGTGCCTTCCAGTATTAGAAATTAGCCAGGCACCAGCTGCATTTTGTGACTGACGTGGGTCCAACTGCAACCATGTGGAGATTTCTGATGCCAGGTTGGTGACTCAGAAAAGCAAAATGTCACTTAAATTGAAATATTTCTCTTGAAGCTCGAATTATTCTGGATTGTTTTAATATGTTGCAAACCGCTTTCAGATTTGTTCTGTAAAATATGAAGCAGTATAGAAATGAAATGAACAATAATAATAATAATTCGGGGGGGGCAGGGTGCCAAGACATTCCAATGTGTCAACCACATTGGGTTTAAAGTGCTATGTGCAATTATATTATATATCTGAGTTTCTAACACTGGTCCCTTCTGCTGCCTTTCACAAATAACCCTACAGCAATCCTATCTAGACATACAAGAGTTTAGCTTCAGTGGTCTAGACTACATTACTGCAACACATTATATGTATTATTGTCTTTGAAGCTGCCGTTATACTGCAGAACTCAGCAGCCAGATTATTAATGGGAGCTAGAGGGTCTGAATATATCTCACCAGTTCTGGTGAAGTTGAATTGACTAACAATATGCCACTGAGCTCAATTCAAAGTAATGGCTTTTACCTATAAAACCTTACACAACTTGGAACCACAAAACCTAATGGATGGCTCTGCCATATGAATATGAATATGAATATGAGCCCAAGATAGTCATCCAAGGCCCTTCTCAAAATTTGCAAGTCCTCCCTAGTGAAGTCCAGAGGCTAGCTATGAGTTAGCAAGCCTTTCAGCTGGCAGCCCCTGCCCACCCTCTCTGTTATGCTCTCACAGGTCAAGGCTCCTAGAATCAACTCTTTCTGGCACCAGGAAAGATGTTTTGGTTTTAGCACTGCTGCTGTTTTAGAGGGCATTCTGTTGGTTTTGTGACAAGTGTTCTTTGGTGAATGGAAAGGATATTTCCTCAAGTATTATTGTTGGATAGACACTTCTTAACGTGCTTTTGTATGGATTTTTATTCTGCAAGCTGCTTTGGGACTGTTTTGGTGCAAAGCAACTTATCAATATAACAAACAATATTAGCTAATCAGGCTGGTAGGCTTGACCAGACTTTCTACTTTTGACAGTTTACATTAACAGCACTACTGAGAAAACCTGCCATGTAGTTAGGCTCTCTTCTATGTAAGAAATGGCTTTATAGAACAGCAACAATGACATCACCAAGGGCAGACCAGTGCTGGGCAGAGAGTTTCAAGCACAGCTGCTGCATGTAAGCTGCAGCTTTGCTTTAAAAAAACAAAAAGGAAAGCTCATCAGCAGATATGCTTGTAGCAATATGTGCCAGAACGATAGCAACTGATAACAGAATGCTCCATGAAATGCCTGCATGCTATACAGCAACTCCTAGTCTATTCATTTACCTACCAATCATTCAGCTGTGATACATAACCAAGCCATGTTTATACAACCTACCTTGTTCTTACGAGCCTGTCCTGACCTAAGTCAGAGCAACAGTCCTTGAACCAGCCCTCTGCTGGCTGAATTCCAAGTCCCTGAATGGACTGAAAAGCATCAGGGTGCAAGTGCAAATTAGTGACTATCCCACTACACACAAAATGCTGTACTCCAGTACATCCAATGGTGTTAAAAGGGTGCTTCAAACTTTGCATTTGGGGCATTTGTATAGTGCAGAGTGGTTTCTTGAAAACCTATTTCTCAAGCTTAACATTAGATGTTTAATTCTACACTAGTCAGGGTCAACCCAGAATTGAGCTATGTTGAAGCTATGCAGGCTCTCTTTAACTGCATCACTGACCCTCATCATATATTGTTATAGAGTGTCATGGGAATCATATTGATGCAAAGCAGTGTTAGAAACTCAGATACATAAGCTAATCACCAAATGGCACCTTAAACTTAGGTTATGGCCACCACAATGGAATGTCTAGTTGCCTTTTTTTACAATGGGATTTATTATAATTAATTTCATTTATATATTTCTTTATATTTTAAAGAGAATTTTTTCAAAGAGTTATACAACACATTAAAACAAAACAATCCAGAATAAAACAAATTCAAGCTTCAAGGAAAATATTTCAGATCCTTCTCTAAATGACATTCTGCTCTTCCCATATTTATTTACCTACTTAATTTATATACTTAATTTATATACTTTTGCCCTATAGCAGAAGTACTCTAGGAAGCCTCTGTGGTGTAGTGGTTAGAGTGTCAGAATACGACCTGGAAGATCAGGGTTTAAATCCTCTCAGTCATGAAGCTCATTGGGTGACCTTGGGCCAATCACAGCCTCTTAACCTACCCCACAGAGTTGTTGTAGGGATTAACTGAGGAGGGGGCAAATCATGAACTCCTTGGAGAAAAAGGTGAGATATAAATGCAATAAATAAGCTCTTTTGCTTACCTGCTTAAGAAAACTGGAGAGGCTAGCCAGATGGAGATGTCAGTCACCAAATCAGAGATCTCCATGTGGTTGCAATTGGACCTACACCAGCAGCAAAACACGCCTGGCTAATTTCTAACACTGAAAGCAATGTATATGGACCAATTCACAGTGCCTCCTGCCTGCACACAGTTCTATAGTACAGTGTTACCTCTGGATGTGAACGGGATCCGGTCACATCCAGAAGCGAACGCAACCCACATCTGCAGATTGCAATTCAACGCTTCTGCGCATGATGGCATTTGACCGCATGCGTGAACGGTGAAACCCAGAAGTAATGCACTCTGTTTCTTCTGGGTCGCCGCAGCGCGCAACCCGAAAATACTTATCCCGAAGCTACTTCAACCCGAGGTATGACTGTATTAGGTTGAGCTCTCTGGGCAGGATTCATCTGAGTTGTTGTATATGTGGCCTACTCATGCAACTTATCCCCCCTCCCACTCCTGAATATGCTCAGGGGTGTGGGACCCCTAAAACAAGATTAGGGGGCATGCAGGGGAAGAAAGGGAAATGTTTCCTTACACAAGCGAATTCCACTTTGCACTACATTAAATTCCAGCCTGTAGTTTAATTTTGTTATTTTTCACACCCTTGCATGAAATGGCAGATTGGAAGAAACATATTTACCAGCACTGGGGAGGGCAGAGAAAAACGTTGTTAAGGAAAGTACAGAAGGAAGAGTTTTGGACAGCTGAATAATGGCACAGAAGATAGAGGGAGATATTATCTAATGGGGATGAATATAATTGTCAGCTAGTGTTAGGGTGAATGCTTCCAACAGTTCACCTGAAATGCAGCTACTGTAATGAGATCACCCATCAGACATGGATGAGACCCCTGCAGAGTTTGCTCATACTTTCTTCCTGCACCTTATAACTAGTCAAGGCTAAAAGTATAAGACTTGCAAGTCAGCATCAGTGAGTGGATAGATAACCCTGAGAGATGGTGTTGCTGCAACAGAAATGATCTTGCCAATGATATTACAGAGAGTACCTCCAGCTATTTCACAGAGGACTCCAAGAAGGCTTCGTGCATTCATCTCAGTATCACAAACCAACTCTGAGTTGGCTAATCCCAAGTGGGGGGTGGGGAGGGAGAAATCTACCTTAATGTTTTATCTTCTGAAGCTATCAAGAGTGTGCTACATGGCTAGGATCTGGATTTAAGAACATTACCCTCCTGCATCTCACAGAAAATCAAGTACATACACATTTAACTTATCTGCAAAACTGGTTGAGGGTGTGCTTCCCAAAGAAGGTAAGGCAGGGCAACAACTGGTGCATTATCTGTCTTCAGGCTACTGCAAGAAAACTGTCACCCCAAAATTAAGGAGACTATGGTTACTCAACGTGGTGCCCTCCTAATGCTCCTGGACTACAGTCCAACTCTAAACAATTCCACAGAGTTTTCAAAATTAGCCAGGCACATTTTGCACCTGGCTTTCGACCACTTGCAACCAAGTGAAGATGACAGGGTGCCAGGATGGTGCCTGACATCTCCACCATTTGGGGATCATTGGATCTGGACTGTTTTCACATGCGAATACTCCATCATGTAGAATTCTATCAGTTATATTTTATCTGCATGATCAGAATGAATTTCTGGAACCAAATTGTTTTTTCTGTGAAGACTGAGCAAGAGCAGTCTGCCTTAGGAAAAGCAGTTGGAATAGGCCAATATATATATGGAGTGTCCCTGAATCAAGCGACTTTGCACTTCTCAAAGCTCTTAACCTAGCTCAAGGTAGTCATCTGAACTAGCCAGATGTTTAACTGAGAATCAATCACAGGCAGTCCATCATTTGAAAAATAAGACTTTAGAGCTGTCTTGCCTCAAAATAGCAACTAGACATTCCGTTTTGGCAACTGCAACCTTGGTTTAAGGAGCCATTTGGCACTTAGCTTATATCTGAGTTTCGAACACTGCAAGCCAGCATGGCCAACATTCAAGGATGATGGGACTTTTAGTCCAGGAATATCTGGAGTGCACGTTGGATACCTCCTTCAAGTTTTATCTACTCGGGCTATATACCAATTGCAAAAATACCTGGATGGATGCATCCTGGAGAACAATTATGCATGTGGTTGTAGCTGCCTATTTAGATTACTGCAATGCAGTGTACAAGGGGCATCCTTTTAAAAAATGGCCAGTAAACTGCAGCTAGCTCAAGACAGAAAAACAAGATCATCAACTGGGGCTGGACACTCTGGTGATATTATGCCAGCACTTTACCAGCTATGTCGGCTTCCAATCTCTTTCCATACCCAATTTCAATGGCTGGTTTTAAGCTTTAATTCCCTTAATAGCTTGTGGCCAGGTTAACTGAAAGGTTGGCTTCTTCCATATATACCTACCTGAACCTTACATTCCTCTTTGCACTCCCACCAAGTAAGGCCAGTTGGATGGCTACTAATACGGCCTTCGTGGTGTGGGCACCAAAACTATGAACGAGGTTCACTAAAGAAGCTTGCCTGGCACTGCTTCTAATTGTTTCTTCAGTGCCAAGTGAATACATTTTTATCCATGCATTTTAAACTAACTTATTTTAATAAAACAAAAAGGCAGGCTCTAACCATTTACTGTTTCGTCTGTTTGCTAGAAGCAAAGTTACATTGTATTTTTATTTTAACTGTTGCGTGCTTTTAATATTGCATCTTGTTTAGTTGGGGTTTGGGGGTTGGCAGATTGCTCTATAAACTGACTACAGAATATTTGTTGATGGGTGTCCACAAAGCTAATAACGATGATGCCAGCTTTCAACAGCAAGGTAGAAACTAGTCCACTGTATGAAAGTAAAATTAACATTCTTTGCCCTGGCCACTTTTGCTCTAGTTGCACTCACTGCTGGCATGCTGCCCAAAAGGATATCCAGAAAAGAACACAACCCTCAGGTTCAAACAGATTCACCAACTATAACTACCATTTTTGGCCCTATTCAGTGTACTGCTCCCTCCAGACAAAGGCAGTCTGCCACCTACATAGACATTCGTTTTAACAGGGAGCTTCCAACTATGGAAGGAAATCCAGTACCGTTTTAGTTGATTTAACATCAAGTGGCTTGCATTAAAAATGTTTGCTATAACACCACACTTCCAGGATATCCCTTGCCATGTATAATTTTGAAAACAGGTTGAATTCAGAGCACACATATATAATTTAACTGTTGTCAGCTTTCTTTTTCCTAGGAGGCTGCCTTACACTAGGTCAGACCACTGGTGCACAGAGTTCAGTATCATTTACTCTTACTGGCAATAGTTCTCTGGTAGCTGGCATAAGTCAACACCTGCTACTCTAGAGCCGGACTGAAGCCGGAACCTTCTGCACACAAAGCATATGGTCTCACACAGTATGAAATCAAATTTGTTGAACTGAAAATGCCTTGAGTCTTGCTTTAATAGCTGCCAGGTAAAGTAAAAAAACTTCAATACGAACTTAAAAGTAAATTATTTTTTTAAAGCTTTGTACTGCAGCTTGCAGCTCTAAGGTGATCTATTTCCTGTATTCTGAGTTTATCCTTTCTTGCGTCTGTTTTTAAGAACCCTTGGCTGGAACTTTTATAAGTACAGTATTGCGTGCAGGAAAACATATGCAAGAGCATCTTTCTATTACTGAGACACTGAATGAAGCAGACATTTCTACAGATTTTGTACTATTTGTATTTTATAAGACTGAAAGTTATTTTTAAAATTCATCTAGAACATAGAGGCTATGTTGATGAAGTCCAGGATGTGACCATTTCCCCCCTAAAAAGTGATTCTGCATAAACATGCCAGGATTTCGAAAGACGAGAGTGACATGTATTTCTTTGCTTCCATTAAAGACATGGCATTTATTTGATACCTAGTCAAATCATAGTTAACTATTCATAAACTAAATCATGTGCTTAATCAGCTGCTGCTGAAGTCACAAGCAAGACAGTATGTTTGTTCTTCCCAACTAAGAGGGCATGGCTTAGAACAGGAAGAGTTTTCTGGACGTTTCACTTTCAGCCTCTGAACAAAGTAAATATATTCTGAAAATGTATGCTGCCTATAAGAGATACTAGATTACATTTGTTACATCTGACGAATACTCTGCATCCAGGAGTGTTGCGTTATTGTTGACCTAAATATTACGCTGGTCCAATTTTCAGCTGGCTTAAAAAAAAAGGTTTTCTTTTACGTACTATGGTAGTTAGTATTTGGTAGTCATTAGAGTAAAACCAGTTTTATGGCCCAATACATTTTTGTTCTTACCATTTGGCTGATGCTTTAGAAACAACATGCTTCTATTGTGCTCATGCTGAAATATTTTTAGTTTAGCAAACTGGTTTAAAAGAATCAGCCTGACAAGATCTACTACAATAGGACTAAGATAAGATAAGATCTTTATTTAAGGACATCAGCACTTCAAACCTTGGAGATCAGAACACCTGCAGTCTTGCTCTGACCAGTGACTTCTAAAGCATTACTCACGGGCAACACTCTAGGATGAGAAGATCACATTTTGTTTACCATCCCAACTTATCAATGACCTCATGTTTAGCTAGTAAGATAACATGTAGCTGGCCCCATTTATTTAACATTCAAGGTATTCAGAGCAGATTCTGTAATAGATTCTTCAAATAACTACTCTCTTAGTTCTCTGTGTAAATATCGCCACATCATTCCACACATGCAATTCACCAAAACTAGTATTGTCAAGTCACAATCATTACTAATAGCTTATGTGCAACACTCCACTCAGGATTAAGTCCAGTTGCATTCAATGGGACCGAGTGTCTGGCAGCATGCTGCCCACTAGGAAAAAGCACCGCCCTCCACCACAATCCCCCCCACCCCAAACTCTGCATGCACTTCGAGAGCTCCTTTTTAAGCACGGCAAAGGAACAAACCAACCTCCTCGGGTAATCACAAATATAAAGCTACACGGGAAAGGTGGAGAAGAGAGCAAAGGCTATAAAAGTTCGGCAATAACACGAACAGGGCTAGCACCCCCACCGGGAAGTCATGCAACATGCCTTGCTCCAGCCGGCAGCTACGGGAAGCTTTATTGTTTGGCCGGGAGGGGCGGGGAGAAGGAACTTGGGCTGGGCTTGCAAGCTGCTCCTCCGCTCTCACCTTCCAGAGCTTCCCGAGGACTCGGGAGCCGCACGGTCCCGGGCGGCCCGCACCGTGACAGCACCCTGGGGGAGGGCGACCCCTTTCCCACGTTTCTTTGTTCCGGGAAGGGAGCTGGTGGAAGGGAAGGAGGGAGCCAGACAAGGAAAGAGGAACCAACCCTCCCCCGCGGCCCGGGCTTCTCCTGCCGGGTCTGCCACACAGGCATCGCCGGTGCTCGCGGGGGAGACCCGCTCCTGTGACACACAGGCGGAAGGTAGCGAAGCGGGTAAAATATCCCACCGCCACCCCCGCGCCGCGAAAAAACCAACCCGACTTTGCTCCCCGCCTTCCTAGAAGACCAGGGCGGGGCCCAGCCAGCCGCTCCTCGACGCCCCAAACCCCTCAGCAAACGCGGCCCCAGCTAAGAGGCAGGAGGAGCAGCCGCAGCCGCTCCGGCGCCGTTAACGGAGCCGCACCCAGCCTCCCCTCCTTCAGCCCCGGCGAGCGAGCCGAGACCGCCGCACCCGGGGCCTCGCACCCAGCACCGGGCCCAGCGGCCCTAGATCCCGAAGAGCCTCCGCCTCCGCCCTCTCTGTGTCTCTCGCTCTCCCGCCCTCCGCCCCACAGCATCGCCCCCTCCGCCCTCACCGTATACGAAAAGCTCGGCCGCCGCGCTGACTCGCCCCTCCGCTACCTTCGGCTCCCTCTATTAATGGGGCCAAACACCCTCCCCGCTTTCACTTCCGCCTCTTGCTCGCCCTCTTCCGGTCACGGGACCCGCCCGCCGTGTTGACGCTCTGACGTGATGGGGAGGCGCGCGGGTGGGGCTGGCAGAGGGCGGGGCTTGGTGTCCCAAGGCGGCTCGGGGAGCGTCTGGTGCGACGACGGGCGGGCCGGGCTGACCTCGGCGGTGTTTGGCCGGCGCCCCACGTGACTTAGATGCGGTTGAGGGGCTTCTGGGAAATATGGGGCGGACTGCTCTTTGAGCCTTGGCAGCCTCCCGGTGCCGGGTCGAGTTTACTTTGAAGAAAGTAGGCCGCAACTCAGTTCCCCCATCTTGGCTCAGAGGCTTCTGGCATTATATACCGTGTCTCTCTCTTTCTCTCTCCCAAGAGTTTCTGGCGCTGTGGTACTTTGTGCCTTTGCACTTGCAGTAGCTTGTTCTACGCCTCCCCCATTTAAAATGTTGTTATAAGAATTTTCAATGTCATCAGCTTTTTATCATCTTCATACTCGGCGAGAGGTTCTTTCAAACTAGATATGCCTCAGTGTCTGTCCTCTACCCCCCCCCATCAGTTTAAAAGCTGTTCTCCCAGTAGTCTGGTTTCATCCTGGTTCAATTGGAACCCCCACCACATTTGTACTAGTCCCAACTTGCCCCCAAATGTTCCCTGGTCCCTAAGAAATTAAAAAGCCTCCTTCCGACACTGTCACCCTCGTCTCAGCCACACGTTGGTCCACGTGGAACCAGTTGTACCTGTATTTCAGAGAAGGCTACCTTGAAGGTCCTGGCTTTTGACATCCTACCCAGCAACTTAAATTCTGATTCCAGGAGCTCACAACATTTTCCTATGCCATTTATGTATTAATTAAATTTGTATACCGCCCAATACCCATAGATCTCAGAGCAGTACACAACCTAAGATTGCTAATGGGTCATGGTCCATATTGTAATTTTTTGTAAGTCAATGATGATAAGTCCCATTGAAAGCTAGAGACCCCAGGATTTACTTCTGACTAAGAGTAAATTCTGAGTAAACAAGCATAGGTTTGTGCTGTTAATTCCCCCAAGGTAAAGGTTCCCCCCCTCAATGTCGGGAGTTTTTCATTAAATGTTTTTAATTGCTTTTCTTTTGTCTTTTTTGTAGCAAATTGGGCTATCTCACAAATAAAAACCTGGGAGAAAATCATAGAGAAAACCAGTAATTAAAACCTCTACTATACTAGGAACAGAAACACATTTGTGCAACTGAAAGAGGTTATTCAAGAGGCTATTGCTTACTAATCCCCCTCCTGGCACTCATCAGAAAGCAATAAAATGGACTGAAGCCACAAAAGGAAATATTTAATTCACTGCAAAGTACCTGTGAGGAGGGAGCAAGGAAGTGTGCCAAGGGGCTCCCAGTCTGACCTGGAAGTGGTATTGTAGGGAGAGAGTCCTGAGGATGCAACACCGCTCTGTCCAACAGAGGATTAAGGCAGGGGAAAAGACACATCAGGTGTGGGTCCTCACTATCAAGAAGGGGAAACGAGCTAAAGAACCGACACATAGCAAAGGAAGCCAAAGGGAGCAGCAGCAGAGCTCATAGATGAAGGAATGAAATTTTATTATGTTATCTCCAAAACTGATTGAGCTATAATAATATACTGATATTTTGGCTTTATAATAGCCTCCAAGATCTTCAGGATGAGGCATGTTTTCATCACCCCTGTCCCTGAAACTGGGATACACCATATTTCCAAAGATTCTCGGCCCTAGGGCAGGTGTCGAGATCCTTTGGTCCTTCATCGGCCCCATCAAGCATTGCTAATGGCCAGGGATTATGGGAGAACATCTGCACCAGGGGAAGGGTAGGGAACTTTTTTTTTCTATTCCAAAGGCCACATTTCATTGTGAGTAACCTCATCCCAGTCAGGCATGAGCATTTGTGAAGCGGGGCTGATGAAGAGTTTAGCCTGGAGAATGCAGAACAAAAAGAATGTCTGAAGGGGCCCTAGGCAGCAAAAACAATGCAGGAGGCAGCACTCCAGAGGCGTACTCATTGTCTCTCAAGACATAACAGCTAACAGTATTAGTGTAATCCTAACTATTTTCTTAGAAGTCTCACTGAGTTCAATGCACTCTTTGTGTCATTAAAAGCCTCTTCATTTTCTTCTAACATTTTCTCTATGCAGAGTGAAAATTTCACTCATCCTGCAAACACTGATTTGCACACCTGTGACAAATGAAACTGTGTTTTGATTGGCTGAGGTAGAAAGCATCTCATTCTGACAAATGAGAAGTCTTGCCATAAAGAGACGTGCATGACAATTTTGCTCTACACCAATGAATTATTTTTGTTATCTTGGAATGAAATTGGACTTAGAAGGATGCTGGTTAAATTTGGACAGCTGTGTAAAAAAGAGCATCTAAAAACTACAATAAAACCAAGGTCACTGTATTTGGCAAGAGGACTACCAAGTCCAGGTAGACTCTAGAGCAGCCTTTCTCAACTTGTGGATCCCCAGATGTTGTTGAACTACAACTCCCATCACCCCTGGCTAGCAAGGCCAGAGCTCAGCTCAGGGATGATGGGAGTTGTAGTCCAACAACATCTGGGTTGAGATGGTTGAGAACCACTGCTCTAGAGGGTCACACCCTTGAGCAAGTACCCAGATTTAAATATCTAGGATTACCGTACTTATCGATGGGAAGTCACCATGGAAACCCCATCTGGACGCAATTAAGCTAATATCTGGCCGTTCTACTGGGCACCTATATAGGTTCTTCCATTCAAAGGGCAGGCAGTTCATCAACCCAGCTATTAAGATCTTTGTCTCTAAAATCGTCGCCAAAACGCTCTACGGAGCTGACATATGAGGAATTGGTGTTAAATCTGAAATAGACACCCCCAAGAATAAATTTATGAGGCAGATTTTAGGGCTTCCTTGCGGTACACCGGCAGCCCACCTTAGAGCTGAGTTGGGCCTCCCCTTGCTAGCAGCCAGAATTGATCTAGCCTATCTGAGATACTGACACAGGCTAAATGCCTTCAAGGATCGTACGCTTATTAAGCTCTGCTGGTTAGACCAACTAAGGACACGGGGCTGGGCACAAAAGTGCCAAGATTAGCTTAGAGCTTATAATCTTCAAATGGAGAACTACTTAGCCCTTAGCCCACGTGACCTTAGAAATTGGATTTTTGGTCAGGGTGCCAACCAAGACAGCATGCATCCATTGCCACCAGTTACTCTACTTGGTACCCCCAAATTAAGACCAATCACTCAAGGCCCTGTTACCTTGAGACTCTGACCTTCCCACAACTACGCAAGGCCTTTGCAGAACTAAGATTTCAACAGATGCCCTTAGCATATTTAGAGGGGAAATATCAGGAAATTTCTCATGTGGAGAGCAAATGTATATATGCATGCAATCAAGTAGAAGACACCCCACACTATTTACTGATTTGCCCCCTGTATACAACACCCAGAAGAAAATTTATATCACCAATTCTTAATTGGCTTTCAGGTCATCCGCACAGGAAGTGACAGTTCAACGTCTAGCAGATAAACATCTATATATTATACACCAGGTAGCCAAATTTGTGCTGGCAACCAAGAAGCTCCGTTCCAGCTATGTGAATGCACTCCAATCTTCAGTTTTAATGTTGTAAATTTCTTTTTATCTTGTAAACTGCTACAGGTTACATTGTATGATTTTAGATGAAAGTGTCCTTTTATTATCTGTCGTCCATTGTAAAAACCTTTTGCTATACAGTAAGATTGATTGATTGATTGACTAGGGCATGAAAGTTTTTGATGCAGCTTTTGTTCTTCAGCTTTGAAGCGAGTTATCAAACAAATGTTGCCAAAAGTCTTTTATGTACTTATTGGTGGAGATTTCAAAAGTTTGAAAAGCAGGCCTATAAATGGCAAATAAGAGATTTTAGTTGACAACAGCAATCCCTCTAAAGATTCCTTATCGATTTAAATAGCAACATGTTATAAAAGTGAAAGGTTGCCTCATTTATTCCTCCTGGAATCAAGCCACCAACACCTTGGTTCCACGCATAGCTACTTTGAAGTACAGTGGTACCTCACAAGATGAATGCCTCGCAAGATGAAAAACTCGCAAGACAAAAGAGTTTTTCGTTTTTTGAGTTGCTTCGCAAGACGAATTTCCCTATGGGCTTGCTTCGCAAGACGAAAACGTCTTGCAAGTTTGTTTTCTTTTGGATTTTCAATGCATTCCTATGGGAAACCGTGCTTCGCAAGACGAAAAAACTCGCAGAACGAATTAATTTCGTCTTGCGAGGCACCACTGTAACTCATACCAGACTTGCTGGTATGCAGCACAAACCTAAGCAGTGGTGGCCGGTACCCATTGACAGTGATACACCAGAAGGTGGGGACACCAACAGTAGGTGGGACCAGAGACAATTGATTCCTCCCTGCTGAGTTCCGCAAGGACTAAGGAGGGGGAAGATGACCCAGTGCAATCTTCTGGACTGGATGTAAAGAAGGCAAGGCAGGTGGGAGCTGGCGGTGGGCCAACTGAGGATGGTGGGGAAGTGCCCCATTTGCCCTAATGGACCAGCCTCGATGAATCCTAATCATGTTTACTGAGGAACAAGTCCCAATGAATTCAGTGGGATGCCCTGTGAGGTAATCAAGGGTCATACATGTGCTTTGGTTTTACCGGTTCCAAACACAGAACATTCAAATGGAGCTGTACCTTTTCTCTGCAAAGTGAGCAACCTGAAAACAGGTTAATCATACTTGCTACGGTTCAAAGGAAGGTTGTGTACTATGGAAAAGAACATTAATCTACAGTAGGAAGATTATACTAGGACTAACCCAAATCCTGCTATTAATGGGACTGCTCAAAAGAGTTTTTAGAACAAACTAGTGATCTGGTGATCTGTTTTAGAGTATTCACTTTCCTGCTACACATTTTTGCATCCTACTAATAATATAAGGGACATGGGTGGCGCTGTGGGTTAAACCACAGAGCCTAGGACTTGCCGATCAGAAGGTCGGCAGTTCGAATCCCTGCGACAGGGTGAGCTCACGTTGCTTAGTCCCTGCTCCTGCCAACCTAGCAATTCGAAAGCACGTCAAAGTGCAAAGTAGATAAATAGGAACCGCTCTGGCGGGAAGGTAAACGGCGTTTCCGTGCGCTGCTCTGGTTTGCCAGAAGCGGCTTAGTCATGCTGGCCACATGCCCCGAAGCTCCCTCGGCCAATAAAGCGAGATGAGTGCCGCAACCCCAGTTGGCCACGATTGGATCTAATGGTCAGGGGTCCCTTTACCTTTACTAATAATATATACATAAATGTGAACTATGCATATTTACTTAGAAGCAGATCTCTGTGAGTTCAAATGGATTTACTCCCAAGTGAGTGTGCACTTCTAGGTTGCTTTGTTTGGAGACTGCCTGTTATGCAGATGCTGTGCAACTTCAAAGTTATTTAGAAATGTTGGTCATCTAGTCCAACCCCCTGAAAAGCAGTAATCTCAAATGCTTAAAAACTAAAGCATCCATGACAGACCCAACCTCTATTTAAAAACCTCCAAAGAGAGTCTACCATTTACTGAGATAATTTGTTCCACCATTGAGCAGCTCTTACTCTCAGAGATTTCTTCCTGAAGACATCCTTAGGCTCAAAGCAGACCTGTGGGGGGCAGATGGGTACGCTTGCCGCAGGCCTTGGATGGCTAAGCTGGTCAGGGTCCTCCTTCAAGGACCAGCTGCTTTTTTGTTTGAATTGATAAGTTTATTCTAACAAGACTCCCACCCTGGGCCTCAGATAAGCTCTGCCCTGACCTGGCTCAAAGTCTTCCATACTCCCTTATGCATGGGATGTGAAATAAACAGAGCTTTTTCTCTCAGCCTTAGAATCACTGTTAGTATGAACTTCTGCTATTATCATTGTGCACTGTATTTTCTTACAAAACCAACTATATAGAAATGTAACACATTACATAGAAATATACCCGTAATACAGTAGTTATTAGAATTAAATTCCCATACAAATGGTAGTGCAAACATTGAAGTACTCGGAAAAAGCAGCTCCTAATCTTATATTTAGAGGTAGCCCTGTTATTCTGTTAGCAGTCTCCTGGCACCCGAAAAATCAACAAAGTGGATTGTAGCCCATGAAAGCTTATGCATTATAACTTTATTATAATTGATTAGCCACTCAACCTAATTTCCGTTTTCTATAAAACTGTTCTCTGTGTTTTTCCATAAAGACCTGGACACACTCTCTCACACAAGCGTAACTTATTACAGTATTGCTTTTCTCACACTAATCCCATTGGCTGTTTTGCCCTCTGCTTCTTTAACTAGAGACTTCATAATTTGAAAACCGTATGTTAGAATTTTGGAAAGGTTACATTGGAGAATAAAGGTCATACATTGGATAAGCAGCTTACTTCTCCAAGAGCAGTTTCTACGCTACTGCCTATTTTTTAAAAAAAATTATTCGAACATCTGACCCGCTGGTATCCATTACTACGGCTGCTGCAATCTGACGCATTCCGGCAGCTTTCAGCCTGACGTTTTCTTTTACATCTGAGGAGGCTCCTCCCCTCCCGCCCTCGGTCACGTGACGGGGAAGCCTCCCCCGCTCCCTCTCCGTCGTCCGCGCTGCCATCTTGGAGCTCCGACGGCCTCTGGGCGCCGCCATCTTGTCTTTCTCTCGGCGTGGAGGGCGCCATCTTGTGCCCGCCAGATGAATGAACCTTGCCGCGAGGGAGGGGAGTCTATCCGGTTCGCTCGGCTGCTCAGTCTCTCGGCGTGGCCAGCCATGGAGAGCCGCGCCGCTCGTCTCTCCCTCCTCCTCCTCTGCTTGGGGGGCGCCCTGGCTGCCCCGGAGCTGGTCAACGAAGAAGTGAAGAGGACTGTGGACCTCGGCACTCACCTGGCCAAAGTGACGACCGAGCTGAGCCTGGCCAACCCCGCGGGGGGCTCCGGGTCGGCCGCCTCCTTCCTGCTGGCTCTGGACCCTGGCCTGGAGAGCCACCTGGCCTACCTGGGGGTGCAGGTGAGCGAGCTACTGGCGGGACGCGCAGCCTCCGCGGCCTTCCGCTTCCGAAGCCCTTCCTGCTGCCGCCGCGCCTCATGTCTCGGAGCCCCGTGAGCCTCGCTCGCCCTCTCCCTCCGGCCTCTCGCAGAGACGGCGCCCTCGGCCAGCCCTGGCGCCTCCCCGCTCGCGCTTCTCCTTTTCTTTCTGCGCGCGGGGCAAGTGTTTCTAGGAGTTGTGCTTCTGCCTTTCTTTCGCCTTCCCTCGCCGCGCCCAGGCTTCGAAAATCATCTTCCCCCCTCCAACCCACTTTGCCTTCGCCTCTTGGTTTTTCCTGGGCGTCTGCCTCCATTCCCTGCAGCTTTTCATTCCCTAATAAGTTCGCTTGTTGGCATTTGAGCGGATATCATTTCCAAAGCATCCCCTCCCCTCGCCTCAACAACGCTATGGCATTGCATTTCAGGGGTTTGTCTTTCTTAACTGTACTGACTGTGGTGTGTTTGGCTCCTTTCCCCGTATAGTTAGCAGGGATGGAGGCTAAACTGCAGATTTGGGGTGGCTATCTCCTTCTTCCCGTAGAGGAGGCCGTGCTGCAGAGATATATGGGACACGAAGAAAACCCTATCAATTTTTTGTCCACCCGAAATAAAAGTCTGGGATCTTCTGGGCAGCACACATAGTGGATTGTGATCTGGGAATGCAGTGTTAGTAGAATATGTGATCCACATTGGCGTGGGGGTGGAAATAGAGGTCTTTTCTAAAGTTACACGTAAGCTGCCCTTTGGGGGGTTGCCAGCTTTTTGACCCAGATAATGTCATGGAAAGGGTTGTCACTTTGCAGCAGTGCTCACCACGTATTTGTTTTATTTCTCCTCTTCCTGACTGCTGACTCCCTTCAGAGCTGCCGCTGTAGTAAATGGCCTGGCATATACTGACACGTAAGCGCAAGTGCTGCAATTGGAGAGCAACCAGTGGCAACCTAGAGGGAAGGAGGCCTGGATCTCAAGGCATGTCTATAAAACCGCATAACGCATGCGTTTGCAGGGCCTGTGGCTAGCTGAACAGCAGACTGCTGGCATCAGAACATTTTAAGTGGCTTATTATTATTCATTGCTGCCTGTGTTTCCTGCCTGCCTGCAATAATTGGAGGTGTTCGTAAATGTGAGCTTAGGAGAAAGCCTTTCTAGAAGGTGTGTTTTAGCTGCTTCTATCTGTGTGGCAACGTGTTAATGAAAACGGTTAGTTGAAGCTCTGTCCTGAAACATGAATGGCTGCAGATATCATAGTGGAGTGCGCTCTGTTACTAGAAAGTGAGCAGTCACAGCTATTTGGGAAGGACTGTAGCTTGGTGGTAGAGCATCTGATTTGAATATAGAAAGTCCTATGTTCAATCCCTAGTATTCCTAGAGAGGACCAGGAGAAAGCCCAGTCTGAAATCCCGGATAGTGGCTTCCAGTCAGTGAGCTGGATGGACCAGTGGCCTGACTTGATAAAAGGTAGCTTCCTATGTTCCCATTTGCTGCAGAGTATTCATTCCGCAAGGCAACTTGATTTTAAGGAATGTAATAGCAGCTAGAAAGCTGAGCTAAGCTTATTTTGTCTTTGGAAGAAAGGGTTGTAAGTAAGTACAATAAAGTGAAGGCAGTAAGGGTAGTGGACTGAGTCTTTGGCACTGTATCTGATGGCCAAAAGTGAGCTCATTGGAACTTAGGCCCTGCTCCCTATGCAATCACAGTTTCTATAGGGGTCTTCCCCAACCTGGTGCCCTTCAGCTGGTTCCCAGTCAACCTGGGTGGTGGTGTCAAAAACAATGGGAGGGCACCAGGTTAGGCAAAGCTACCCCCAAGTATGATTTCTCATGTTATTTACAGTCCCATTCTAAATAATGGAACTTGCTTCCTTGTAACTATATGCATAGGATAACTGCCGTTGTCTTCTATTTCATCATTTTGCAAAATGGGAATACTTGCTGCCTATTGGATAGTGGATAATGCTGAATATGGATAGGCATTTCACTCTCATACATGAATTTCTTTATAGTCCTTGGACAATCAGATACTGGTTGCAGTATCTGGTAGTTTTGATCCATCTTAGAGTTACAGTGAGAGGCCTGTGAAGCCCTTTGTGGATTAAAAATGGAACTAAATTATTTTTGACCTGGGGGTAGGTGTACATATATATTTGGGTCTGAAAATATGAATTATCAGTAAAATAATTCTACATCCTAGCCATGCCTTTACTTTCTAGTGAACCCCTTCCCAAGGACCTGAAAGAATCACATGTATCTTTTTTAATTTTGGCCAGTTTACTCTCAAATTAAGAAGAAAAGTGCTGTCAGGTGCATCGTCTGTCCTTGTAACATTGGGGAGGCTGTTGGAGAAAGTAAAATCAGGACTGTTTTCAGCAAATCATGTCATCCAACACTTGTCTGTCTAGTTGTGGCTATTCAGTGAGTTCTCACAAAAGACTTCTGGTAGAAGAACAGTAAGTCTTTGATCAGAACTTGCATCCCATAAATCACTATTGTATGTCTCTTGTTCTGAAGCTAACACAGTAACAGGGTTCCAGAACTTGCCTACCTGCTTGCCAGCAGTGTGTGTACTCCCTGTCCAGTAAGCAGAAGAAAAATGTGCTTTATCTCTGTTGTTTTGGCTTCTGCAGAAAGCACCAGTAGTGCCTCACTGTTGCTTTAGAATTACAGAAGCCAAATTCAGAGGGAAAGGATTTGCCTCTTCAAAATCACCACAGAGAAAAGGGAGGAATGCTTTCTCATAGTTTGAAATTTGCAGGAGACAGCAGCACATTGTTGCTTGCTCCTTCTGCAGGATCCCTTCAGAAAGGCAAACACCCCTCCATTCTCCAGGTTCTTCAAAATGCCGCAGGACTCCAGGAAGGAAGGGGTGAATGACAGCTGCAGACAATGGGCTTGGCTAGTAATCCAAGCCAGCATTTACGTGTTCTTGTATAAGAGTCTCAAGGGTTTAACAGACCTCTGTGTATGTTGCTTTTAGATAATGCTGCAGGGTTTGTGGAGTTAGCCAACAACTTGTTCATGATTGGATGGCTAATTATTGGTGTGTGTGTGTGTCAAATTGAAGTGTGTCTTTGCTGACTTGCAGACCCCTGGGAGTAGGAATTAGCACTTGTGATGAATTCAGCTGTCTCAGATGGAAACTGTTAATGGTAACAATGACCAAACTTGAATTTAATCTTTTGTTATAGGTGAAAGGCGAGGAAGAAGAAGAGAGTACTCTTGAGTTGAAGGAGACAAAGGTAAAAGGTAAAAGGTGAGTTTTGCCAAGGGAAACTATATCATATCCAGGTTTGCCACAAAATATACACTGAAGAATTTGCGCCCAGTCTGTATGACGCATATACTTAGCACATTCAGACTTTATATTTTTGTAATTTCCAAAGTGTTTCTTAAAAAATAAATATTGTACTAGGTCAGAGACGTTTGCTTGTAGCCCTGCAGAATCATAGAAAATCTAAGACTTCAGATACTATTTTAATAGTGGCTTTCTTTTTGATTATTGGATTAAAAAATTAAGAAAAACAAATCTAATCTGACAGTTCTGATGACATGCAGTTATCACTTGAAATTGGGAGGCATAGTAATTCACAGAGTTGCATTATAATCTGCTTGCTTCTTAGAAGCCTAAACCTGTCTATTGGAAACAAAAATTATCATTATCATTATTTACCTGCCCACAGAATGGGTTACATTACAACACCATACGAGTAAAACAACTTACAATTACAGAAATAAGGTGGGTTCTATCAATGTACACCTCAAGTGTCAAAAGCCAGGGCAAAGAGGTGTGTCTTCAGCGTGCACCATAATGAAAGTGCCAGATGCACCTCTGTGGGGAGGGAGTTCAGAACTTAGGGGCTGCCACAGAAAATACCCTCTCCTAGGCCACCACCACGTAAGCTTTTGAATGCAGAGGAACGACCAAGTGTGCCCGCTCTGGCAATCCTAGCACCGAAGAGAGTGGGGTGGGAAATATAGTCTCCATGTATTGAAGAGCTGTTACAGAGTTGTGAAAAGAATGCTGTTGAAAGAAAGAAAGGTTGTCTTTGAATATGTTGCAAAGGAATGTGCTGGCCTTGATAGATGAGCTTTTTAGCCTTGTACTGTCTCTCCTGATAAGACTTCAGTTGCTTAGTTACCTGATAAGACCCATGCTATGTATGGTACTTGGGTATTGTGCAGGTATTGTGCATGTGTTAGGAGCTTAGAAACCTTATAAAAAACTCAGGTATTCCTAGGGATGCTGGAATTCACCCTGGTGACTTCCCCCAAATGTTACATTTGACCAAATAAAGCTGCCTTAAACTTTCCTTGATGTACTGCTTGAAGAAATCCACAACAAGGGTCTGTAAGGAAGGAGGTGGTCTTTTAGGTATTTGGGGCCTGAGTCGTTTAGGGCTTTGAACATTAATGTGAGTGGCTTGAACTGGGCCCAGAAATGAACTGGCAACCAGTGCAGCTGTTTTAGCACAGGAGGTTATGTGAGATCTGAACTAAACTGCAACCAGTAATCTAGCTGCTGCATTTTGGACCAATCAAAGTTTCCAAGTCATCTTCAAGGGCAACCCTGTATAGAGTGCATTGCTGTAATCCAGTCTGGAAGTTACCAGATCAAGGAGTGGCCAAGTGATCTGTATCCGAAATGGGCTGTAGCTGGTGAACCGGCTGGAACTGAAAAAAGGCATTCCTAGCCACCTGATCCTCCAGTGACGCTTTAAATCCAGGAAAACACCTTCCCCAGCTACAAACCTGCTCCTTTCATGGGAGTGCAAGGCAGACTGTCTCCCCACCTCCCAGGTGTGACAATGGGGCACACAACACCTCTGTCTTTTCAGGATTCAGCTTCAGTTTTATTAGCTCGCATCCAACCTATCTGTTGTCAGTCGTTACTGACCAGTCTTTAAAAGCTATTGCAATATATCTTTTGACATTTAAATCAAACTGTTAGCTGTTATAACATTAGTCAATTGAGATCAGGGTTCTCTGAAATAGCAAACGTTCCCAAGAGTCCATGTTCTGATTGCTGACAGCAGTGGGCCACATTACTGCCATTTTGATTAAACCCAGGCTAGTATAACTGAGCTAGGAATACAAAGATGGTTTTGGTATCCACAGCATTACATTTATTATTACATTTATATTTCTTCTTTTATCCTCACAACAACCTTGTGAAATAGATTAGGTTGAGAAACTCTGACTAGTCCAAGATCATCCAGTGAGTGGGGATTTGAACTTTAGTCTACACTCAAACCACTACGTGGCCCAAAACTGCAGCAGACAAATGAAGGTGGAGATGATATATTCTTCAGTGAGAATCTTTGTTGAGCTTCTTTCCATGCTTATGGGTGTCTGTAAAGCCAGCAGAGCCAGATTGATTTTTCTATCTTTTTTTCTCCTTTACAGTGGCAAATTCTTCACTGTAAAACTGCCATCTCCTTTGGCTCCAGGTGGAAAGATTCGCTTATCTGTTGAAACGGTTTTTACACATGTCCTGCAGCCATACCCAACTCATATCACCCAAGCAGAGAAACAGTTTGTGGTTTTTGAGGGCAATCATTATTTTTACTCTCCGTATCCAACCAAGACCCAAACTACTCGGATTAAGCTGGCCTCAAGGAACGTGGAAAGCTACACCAAACTAGGCAATCCTAGTCGGTCAGAGGACATGATTGAATATGGACCCTTCAGGGATGTTCCACCATACAGTGAGGTAAACTCTTAATCCCAGTTAACATTCCTAGGGGAGAAGCTGTTTAAAAGGAATTTGTCACTCATGTAGAATTAAAATACATGCATGCCATTCTGCTGTGTCAAATGATTAATATAAATCCAAAAACCAGAAATGTAAGGGGCTTAAAAGGAACTAAAGTAAACTAAATCTGCCTTGTATGTAACAACTCCACCTGTTCATCCTGGGTGGACAAAGAATACCACACAGGTGAGTACATGAGGTTATATGCAGGCCAGTGAGTGGACTAGCGAAGAAGAGAGAGATTGCTGTGTTCCTTTGCCTGCCAGCCTTTGGCACAAGACAGTTTTTTTGCAGGCCTGCCAAGAGGCATCTTCTCCTCCCTGGGCAGCACAGAAACATGCTAGTATTTACAAGATTCAGCCAAAGGGCACCAAGCCTTTAATCTTTGAAAACAGACAAGGCACTTTTTGTGTGTGCGCTATTACAGATTTCTAATGGGCTCAGAAAAAGTAATGCAGCCACTGTCTATGGACATTGCTCACATTATTCCACATGTGGTTTCTCAGCATAGACACCTTCCGACTGGGATAGCTCAGTCAGTAGAGCATGAGACTCTTAATCTCAGGGTCATGGGTTCAAGCCCCACAATGGGCAAAATATTCTGGCATTGCAGAGGGTTGGATGAGATGACCCTCATGGTCCCTTTCATCACTACAGTTCCATGATTGTAAGTGGATATTGGGGGTAGGCAAGGAAATACTGTTTCCTTAATGCACTGTTTATGAGCTTCTCAGAAGCTTACTTGTGTCGGAGGCTGAATGCTGGCCAAGATGGATCCTTGCTAGATCTAGCCAACATTTCTTAATGAGTATTGTGCAATATTTCAATCAATACATAGATTGTGTAATACCTCAACAAAATTATTGAGAGTCTGATTTGCAAGTAGGTCTTCTTAATAGGCGTTGCTGTAAATGACGTGGCTTTTTCTACAACACACTCGAGCACAGAAAGTCTTCAGTTTCTACTTTTTCTCCTTAGGATAACCTTAAGGTGCACTATGAAAACAACAGTCCATTCCTGACGATCACTACCATGACACGTGTTATTGAAGTTTCTCACTGGGGCAATATTGCTGTAGAAGAGACGGTTGACTTGAAGCACACAGGAGCTGTGCTCAAAGGGCCTTTCTCCAGATATGACTATCAAAGACAGCCAGACAGTGGAATATCCTCTGTGAAGTCTTTCAAGGTCTGCCCTTGCATATTTCTCTTTGTCTTAAAAGGAGCCGGGGGGGGGGTGTATAAGTAAACAGTTCCTCTTCCCCTTGCCAGAAGGACCAGGCTTTGGGGGTAGGGAAGGGGACAGCAAGGAAGCATTGCTACTGATCTGCTTTTGAGGAGATGGTGCCTTACTGGAAACTTTCTTTCTGTCCCTTTTTTATGTTGCTTCTTGTTTCTGATATGGAAGTACAGGCTTAGGGCGCAATCCTAGCCCTACTTGTCTGGGAACAAGCCCCATTGAAATCAGTAAGACTTAGGTCTGTTTAAATATGGTTAGGATTGCAGCCTTAGGTCGCTTGCCTTCCCCACCATTCTTCTGTTTTGGAACAAAGCTAAAGGAGGCAGTGGGTGAGAAGATTCCCATACTAACTTTTGGAAGAATTGCTTAGACGGCAATTTAAAACTAAAAGGTGTTAAATATTAAAATAATTACAGTGATTGCCTTAGGAAACGCAGTAATAAAAAAAAAGGTACATACAGTGGTATCTCGGGTTACAAACTTAATCCGTTCTGGAGGTCTGTTCTTTGACCAAAGCATTCTTAACCCAAGCTGTGTGCTTTCCCTAATGAGGCCTCCCACCCCCAGTGTTCGTCTTCCATTCATCTTCCGGGGCAAAGTGTGCTAACTGGAATACCTATGTCCGGTTTTGCAGAGTCCGTTGTTCAAAGTGTTCGTTAACAGGACTGTTCGTTGACCAAGGTAGCATTGTATTGTACTCTTTAGAAATGTAGGCACTACATTTAGAACCTGAGGACTTTGAAGGAAAGATCAGGCAAGCATTGGTTGGCAATACTTTAGGGCAGAGGGTTGGACTGTATGACCAGAATCTCTTCCAATGTGATTTTTAAAATTCAGTCTGCTGTATATGATTTGCTTATACTGTGGTTGCAACTGCTGTGAGCATGGAGATAACTGTTTGCTTTTAGTGAAAATGCACTCTTAAAAACAGTGACTAGCAAGTGCCCCAATTATCGGTACTGGTGAATTTGACATTAAGTGCTTATCTTGCTTTGGCAGACTATCCTTCCTGCTGCTGCTCAAGATGTGTATTACCGAGATGAAATTGGCAACATATCCACCAGTCATCTCCTCATCCTGGATGACTCTGTGGAAATGGAGATCCGCCCTCGCTTCCCCCTATTTGGTGGTTGGAAGACACATTACATCATTGGTTATAACCTGCCTAGCTATGAATACCTCTTTAATCTTGGTAGGTTTCCTTGTTACGGTAGTGGCATCTGGAATATAATTTGAGCAACTGGAATACAAAGCTATTCACTGTCTGCAGTTCTACGCAGAATGGCATATTTGGAATTCCAAAGATTCTTAGTTTTATTATTTGTGCATGTGTGCTCAGAAACCAGGTGCTGTACTGTTAAAGTGCATCTCAGTACTTGATTATATGAATTTAAATGATGCCATGCATGGTTAGAAGCTCCTTCAGGTTTGCTCTCAGGCACACCTCCCCCCACCTCCTACTCTCCTGACACCATTCTGTTCCTTTCCCAAAACATACAAAATGATATACAGTGTGGTCAATGGGGGATATCCAGCTAAGCTGTACTAAGCTTTGTGCTCTGCACAGCTTATGCTGGGTGCACAATTCAATGTGTTATCACAGTAATAGTGTGGATATTGCCTAACTTTACTGCAAGTAAGCAACCTGCAGCTAAAACAAGTTGTTGTGGAGCTTAATGGGGGGGGGGGTTTAAGCTCACCTTTAAACTTGTGACTGTTTTACCCAACAGGGCTTTCATAGCTGGTATCCTGATGCATAGAAAAAATCATAGTATCCTCTTGGCTTTTGTTTCCCAGGTGATCAGTATGCCCTGAAGATGAGATTTGTTGACCATGTGTTTGATGAGCAAGTTACAGACTCACTAACTGTAAAGATAATCCTTCCAGAAGGTGCCAAGTAAGTAATAATATGGTTGAGATCAAGGCACTTAGGTGTCAGCCATAAAACATAAGGCCTGCTTTGTGTATTATTCCCCTTATGGTGAAGCAAGAATGGGCAGCATTTATGTCCCTGTCGCAATTCCACATACCCCTGCCCTGTATTATGACAGTGTGTGGAGCATGGTTGTCTGCAAAGGAACTCTTATGTTTGAGCAGCTGCTTGTGCACGGGGACACCACTCAATCAGGATACCAACACCGCCAGGCATCCCAATTACATGCAGCCTCTGTGTGTGAGCGGCAGCTCATGTGTACACCTTTACTTGCAAAGGACCATGCCCAAGCCATGGACATCGGAGGGCGGGGACTAATCCAGGGCTACTTTCTCTCCACCCCCCAACAACAACCAGGTTAGGTTTTTCCTGGGACAGCTAACAGTATTGTATACACCTGTTTGCAGGAATATCCATGTGGATAGTCCATATGACATCAGCCGGGCACCTGATGAACTTCACTACACCTATTTGGACACCTTTGGCCGTCCAGTCATAGTTGCGCACAAGAACAACCTAGTTGAGCAGCACATCCAGGATATTGTGGTAAGCATAAGCCCTTTGCTTAGATAGCATAAATAATGAGAAGTACCACACTCATCTTTGCAGCCCAGATTGCTCTACAGCAAGTGACATGGCTGCATAAGCAACAGACCACGTTCATAGATCAGTGAAAAGATGGAGCTTCACTCTTGAGTTCTGATCTGCATCTTAAATGTGCAAGTATCTCATTGTTCTTACGTATAGGAATGTAAGGTGGGTAGCATGTCATCTTGACTAATGGAAGTTTATGCTCTTCTCACTGCTTGCCCTGCTCTTCCTAGGTGCACTATAATTTTAACAAGATCCTGATGCTGCAAGAACCTCTCCTGGTAGTTGGAGCCTTCTACATCCTGTTCTTTACAGTGATCCTCTACGTGAGGCTGGACTTCTCTATCACTAAGGTACTGCAATAGAGGCACGATGAAACAGGGAGGATGTGGCAGGAATACATTACTTGAAATACATTAATTCTTTGAGTCAATAAATGAGCATGTTGTGTTAGGGCTTACCTTTTTCAAAGCACTGCTAAGATCCAAACTGGCCAAAATTCTTCATCTATTAATTTTCACGGAATGAAGTAGATTTTTAAAATGGCGTTTTGGTCCATGTTTTAATTAATTTTGATTCAGTCACGATGGCTTGCACAGTGGATAACATTGTTTTCTTATCGCATACAAGTCTATTTGAAGCAAATGGAACTCCTCAGTGTTTCTTGTTTTTGCACTTTGCTGCAAACAATTATTTTGGTAAAGTCTGTCTGATGAATTTAGCCAGTGTAGTGAATAAGCAACAGAATTGTGAACTAGGAACGCCTTTGGTTTAGATTTTGTCTTCTCCCTTTCGACTCTCTAGATAGACTTTAGGTATGCCAGTCTCTCTGCCTCGGTCTTTTATTTCCAAGGTGGAGGTTATGCTGACAGATCTTATAGGGTTGTTGTAAGGACTACAGAGAGAGCACACAAAACACTTTCTGGACACTTAGAATGCACCGTATACTGTAACAAGTATTTAAGCCATTGTGCTTTTGCAGGACCCAGCAGCAGAAGCTAGGATGAAAGTTGCCTGCATCACAGAGCAAGTTCTCACCTTGGTGAATAAGAGACTACGTCTGTACCGCCATTTTGATGAAGCTGTGAATAAGTATAAGCAGTCACGGGATATTTCAAACCTAAACAGTGGCAAAAAATCACTGGAGACTGAACATAAGGCCTTAACCAACGAAATAGCTTCATTGCAGTCCAAGCTGAAGACAGAAGGCTCTGACTTGTGTGACAAAGTAAGAATCCGTTGGCCTCCTTAGTGTGTATTGTTACTGTACTGCCTTTATTCTAAACTGCCTTTTCTCTTGTCATTCCCAAGGCAGATATTTTCCGCACACTTTAAATAAATTCTTTTTTGTTGCCTTCGTTCTGTGTTTACACTGTATCATGATGATTCCAGAATAATACTGCTAAAGTTGAGATTTCTAGGTTCCTTGATAGTTTTATTTCCAAGCATTCCTCCATAAGGCTGGAGAGCCCTGGGGGAATTTCCCCGTTTTCATTCTGCCATGGCTTTAAATATTGCGCTACCTGTATAAAATATCTAAACCAGGACTGTCGACTATCCCCGCTTGATGAGATGCATTGGCCAGGGTCCTCCACCACATTCAGCCAAGCCCTTCTCTCAGTGAGTAGGCCCTGAAGGTAGCAAGTTTGCTCCAAATGTTTTAATGTTGTGTGGGGAATACATCAAGCCCCTCTGGGTGCATTAAGCCTTCTGGCTACCACTTACCTAACATGCCTACTGCTTTGAAATGGAATGTTTTTTGAAAGCTGCTGCTCAACATTGGTGAGCGAAGCCTAAGGCATCCTGACTTCCCGATTTTAAGTTGTATTAATCCTTAGGCACAAATGTGGTCCACGTGTCATTCTCTTAGCAGACTGCTTCTACTCTGCTTTGAGTGAAACTTTCACCCACAATAGGAGATGCATTCAGTGGATCTCCCTGGAACTGTTGGTGAATATATCTATCTTGAAGATGGTCACTTTTGCCAGGATGTCAATGCATAATTTGCAACGGAAGGGCTGTTAATGCATTCTGTTCATTAATACTCAGCTGCAGTTAGCTGAAAGCTCCCTTGGTAACTGGGAGGAGGGCTGAGTGGAGCGGCTGTGCACACACACTGTAGCTGTTATCTCTACATATTCCTCTGCTGATGTTTTGCTATAAAATGGAAGGAAGGTTAGAAGGCATTTCATTTCTCAAAAACAAAGTATGAATGAAATGTTGCATAATCAAGTGCTCTTACTATCATGGAACCAGCACTGACATGTTTGTTGCAGTAAGTGTCCATATTCAGAACCATTAAATGTAAAGTTTAAATGGGTGTAGCTTCAAACATATCATTGTATAGTTTGCCATATACAGTCGTACCTTCGTTTTCGAACAGCTTAGTTCTCGAGCCCTGCAAAAACCTGGAAGTGACCATTCCTGTTTGCAAACTATTTTTGGAAGCCAAACATCCGACGGGGTTTCTGCGGCTTCCACGCATTGGTTTTCAAATGTTTTGAAAGTCAAATGGACTTCCAGAATGGATTCTGTTCAACTTCAAAAGTACGACTGTAATTGTTTGCTTAGACCCTGTAAATCTACTACTTCTAGGGTGACCGTAAAAATAAAATGAAAGCACCCTATTACTGTTGCTTTGTATGGCTATGGTGTTGTCCAGTCACCTAATGTTTTGTCCCAAATTTCTTCCAAGGTTAGTGAAATTCAGAAACTTGACAGCCAAGTAAAGGAGCTGGTCCTGAAATCTTCTGTGGAGGCTGAGCGGCTGGTTGTCGGCAAGCTTAAGAAGGATACATACATCGAGAATGAGAAGATGCATTCTAACAAGCGTCAGGAGCTGATCACCAAAATCGACAACATCCTTGATGCGCTATAAGTTAGAAGTAAAAAGTTTGGGAAAGAGCTAAAAGGGGTGGAAGAAGGTTCAATGAGCATACTGAGCCACACCAAGTTGGGGAATGGGGGGGGGGAGAGGTGTGTCTAGCCTACAAAACTGCAGCAAGGAAAAAGTTTTTGGAAATCGCCTCCAAAATGTGGTATTAGTCACTTTTAGGACCTGTTTGCTCTGTGATACACCTACTATACAGAAGAGGTGTATTTATACCATGCCTTGGACTTAAATGAAACCATAGTCCTCAAAGTGTTACTAGCACGACTTCAAAGTCTGCTGAGAGGCCCCCTAATTTTCAGTAGGGAAGCATGCACACAGGTCCTGTACTGGCACTGAATGTCTCAGAGAGTAAATACAACTGTTTTATTCAAAGGTTTGGTACCAAATCTTTCCTTCTGTCCTCCACCTTTGAATTTATACTTTTTTATATTTTGGAGATGGGGATACAGATAAGTAACTTGAACAAAGGATTTTTTTTTTAACTATTTGTCGCACTAAATGAGATTCTTGTCCCTGAACTTTCTGAGCCTCTTTTGAAATTCAGTTTTGGGGTAGAGTCCAGGGAAAGAGAAGGGAGCGGGTGAGGTTCATTTGCTTAGAAGCCTGTGCTTTTCCTCAGACGGTTTGTTTCTTTAAAAAAAAATTGTAGGGAAGATCAAACTGAAATAAAGATGTATGGATCTTCTGCCTCTATTTTCTTCTTCTTATTATTATTAGAGTGTCCTGTGCCTTTTGGATTCCTGTAATGAGCACCACATTATGTTTGATCGGCTATCTTTATCTCATGCTTCATCTTGTGTAAGAATTATGAACCTCTAAGCTGTTAAGAGCTTTTAGAATGAGTACTGCAGTCAGTAACAAACTGACTTGCATTAATGCTGATTGTAGCAATAGTTGAATCTTTCTATGAATGTGTGTGATTTTTAGGTGTTGTTTGACCTGGTCAAAACTCTGTAGAATATACTTCAAGATGTAATGCTGAATCACCTAATAATCAACCAGTGCAAAATAGCAGGGAACTAGCAGTTTCTGATGCAGGATTCTATCACTTGGAAGTTTCATAGGCAGAACCATTTTTGTCAAACTATATGACTCCTTTTCCAGAGAGTTTAACACTCATTCCCCTGTTCCTTCTCGCTTTTTAGATGGGGAGGAGAGTGCATTTCCCAGGTACCGTATTTTTCGCACCATAGGGCGCACCTGACCATAGGGCGCACCTAGTTTTTAGAGGAGGAAAACACACAAAAAAATATTCTGAATCAAATGTTGCACTAAACTATTTAAAGCAGCAAAGCGGGCGGCTCCTGTCCATTTGCTGCTTTAAATCGAGCCTCAGAGGAGGGTAGGAAGGGGAACCATGGCTTATCTAAGTCCAGTCAATAATGCTGAGCCTGACTTATGGCCATCGAGATTAGCCTGGCCGTCTCAGTGGAAATCTGGGGAGGCTGGGGTGGACATTCCAGTGGTCAAAGTGTGGTTGTGTCTTCCTGCCCCGCATCTATTTCCTGCCCTCTTTCTCCCCTGCACCCCCGCACCCTGCTTCCAGGGAAGGAAGCGGAGCCATGGATCCTCTCTGCCTCGGCAACTGCAGTGGGAGTCCTCCACTCATCCACTTTGAAGCAGGAAAGTGGGAGAGGAGCTGCTTACACGAGTGTAAGCTGCTCCCCTCCCACTTTGCTGCTTCAAAGGGAGCCGGGGAGGAGGGAATCCGCTGCAGCCACAAGCAGCGGAGGATCCATGGTCCCCTTACTTCCCTCCTCCGTAGTTGCTTTGAAGCAGGAAAGTGGGAGAGGAGCTGCTTACACGAGTGTAAGCTGCTCCCCTCCCACTTTGCTGCTTCAAAGGGAGCCCGGGAGGAGGGAATCCGCTGCATGGATCCCCTTCCTTCCCTCCTCCGTGGTTGCTTTGAAGCAGGAAAGTGGGAGAGGAGCTGCTTACACGAGTGTAAGCTGCTCCCCTCCCACTTTGCTGCTTCAAAGGGAGCCGGGGAGGAGGGAATCTGCTGCAGCCACGAGCAGCGGAGGATCCATGGTCCCCTTCCTTCCCTCCTCCTGGTTGCTTTGAAGCAGGAAAGTGGGAGAGGAGCTGCTTACACGAGTGTAAGCTGCTCCCCTCCCACTTTGCTGCTTCAAAGGGAGCCCAGGAGGAGGGAATCCGCTGCAGCTTCCCCCACCTCCCGGAGAGCCTGCAGAAGCCGCCCGCTCTTTAAAGGGGCTGCGCGGCTTCTCCTGGCTTTTCTGGGAGGTGGGGGGGGGATTGCCCCACCTCCCGCAAAACCGGCAGAAGCCGCCCGCTCTTTAAAGGGGCTGTGCGGCTTCTCCTGGCTTTTCTGGGAGGTGGGGGGGGATTGCCCCACCTCCCGCAAAACCGGCAGAAGCCGCCCGCTCTTTAAAGGGGCTGCGCGGCTTCTCCTGGCTTTTCTGGGAGGTGAGGAGAGAAGGACTAATGCAGCCAGTCAGTCCCTTCTCCCTCCTGGGGAAAAGCCTGCAAGAGCGCACGAAGCTTGTGTGCGGCTCTTGGGGGCTTTTCCCGCCTGCCTCCCCCTTGCATTCGCTCCATAGGACGCACACACATTTTCCCTTGCTTTTTAGGAGGGAAAAAGTGCGTCCTATGGAGCGAAAAATACGGTAAATTATTTCTGAGGTTTCCCCTCCCCCCTTCATTTAGCCTTGAACAGCTTCAGTTTTTATTTCATTTTTTAATATAACATGTAAGTTGCTGCAGGTGAACAAAAATTCCTAAGATGTCTCTTGCCACTGCGCACAACATAGATAAAATCACAGGACAAAACTGGGGGATCTTCTTGTCATTGTAATGCATTGGTTCACAAAAAGTGTGTTATGAGAGGAATGAGCCTTGTGTGAAAAGCCAGTTCCCCCTTGAGGGAGTATCCATTGACTATAAATAGCTTGTGATTTGGTTTGACCTAGTTTACGCACCAGATGGCGCCAAGCTCACTGGAAAGCAAGAAGTCAATATTCTGTTAATTTCTTAAGATGAGAAGGTAACTTCCACCACTGATTTTTTTTAATACATGTAGGTAAACACATGTTTATCTTGTAGCGTTGATTCCCCAACCCACATATCTTCATACCATGCAATTAAGCAATCACTTTTAATTGTCAGCCTCATTCATGTACACTAACTCTTCTTCACACAGTATCTGCATTTGCCCTACAATGAGAATTACAACAGTAGCCACTGAGTTAACATGATAATAGCTACAAGACTCTGCATAGTGAAGTTCTCTCGGGGTTAAAACTGTCTAGCAATGTGAAAGGGCTCACAAATAATCTGACTGCCAAATACCTAAGCCAGGGATGAGGATCCTGTGGCAGCACTCCCAAAAGTTGAATTCTAACTCCATGATTGGGGATTGTAGGAGTTGTAGTCAAGCAATATTTGCAGGACTGCAGGTTTCTCATCCCTGACCTAAAGCTTAAAATTTAAAAGTGACTTCTGCCTTAAGAACCTTGTTTAGGGAGATACCCTTCTTGCCATCTCTGTGTGGCCTTGTAAGTGAATGTGTCCATCATTTGAATTGTAAGGATAAATTGAAATATTTGTCCAGTTTATAGAGGATCTTAATATCTTAAGTTTCCATTCATGTACCACTTCCATTGAATGACATTTATGAGATAAGGAGCTTGAAAGCAAGGCACTATTTAGCTTTTAAGGTAAGGAAAGGGTACCCTGGGCTGCGTTACAAGATAGGCAACTCAAGTGCACAGCTGTCCATCTCTGCTTCCTTACTGTTTGCTTTGCCATAAGTGTACTTTAGTTTTTGTAGCTTCTTTACTCTTTCGGTGCCTGAGGTATAGTGCTCTTATAGTTCTGAATTATCACAGTGCTAATTAGTATGATGCTGTTGCCAGAATGAGGAAGATACGATGGCCTGATTTGACTCAAGCTAGTCTTGAAGTGTCAGCTCCCATCTGCCCTATATCATTCTGGCTCTGAAGTCTTTGTTGATTGACTATAATTACAGCATATTGGTTACTCATGGAACACCGATTTTGTGCCAAAGAATTATCAAGCATGAGCTTCAGGCATCCTAAACTATGAAAGTGCCCCTCAAAGGGACAGGTGTAGTCATGGTATTTGAACCACCTGATGTCTCTAATTTGTTTAACTCGAGCCAATTCTATAGCTGTTGACATTTAATAGTGGGAGGAGTTAGAAGCCGGAGTCTTAAAAACTGAGGGAACAGAATGAAGCAAATGTGGTTCTCATGCTCTTGCAGGTAATCGAGGAAACTGCTCCTACTACTAGTTAACCCCCCTGACTTTGTACCTCTCTGGATTTTAGGCTCGAGTTTACTTACAAATGGAAATATTTTTAATCAAGGCACTTGGTGGGCTATCACTAACACTATTTCATGCCTTCAGAAGCATGTCTAAAGCAGTGATTCCCAAATTGGCTTGGAGCACACTAGGGTGTGCCACTGAAGAACCACAATGTGTCTTGAAGACATTCTGTTGGAGGCAAACACTCCTGCATTTCTTTTAGAGTGCAGTGGCCTTGGACATCACTCATTCCCTAGCCTGCTCCAGGATAACACCCAAAAGGAGTAAGGATGTTGCTGCAGCCCAAACTGCAGTTCTTTGCACAAAGGTTATCTGAGTACCTGCTTGGCCTGGATCTGACAACCTTGGGCAGAAAATACAAGAGCAACTTTTAACTGCTTGCCAGTGCTCAGGAAAAGCATATTAATCTTCTGGAAGTCACTATATAATTCAAAATGCTGCTTCGGATTTCCTGCAATTTAGCACATCCCCTTTAACTTCTGGCTAAGTAGCCCTGGCTACCCCTTTAGAAATAGAGCATCGGAAAGAACCAGATAATTCAACAAGGCTTTCAGTCCTTTCTGTAGAAATCTGAATGAGGGGTTGAGCTGAAGTAGAATACTTTGGATACATTATTAAGACCTGTTCCCTTTATATGATTCCTCTCCAGATAACTTGCTCACGTGCCCACCATAAGCCAAAAGAGCAAGCCATGAAACAGGGTGAGGCAAATGTGATGTGTGTCCAAGCTACAAAAGGAACTTTGTAGCCACTTGCAAAACAAGTTCCCTTGCGGGTGTGTTCTGACCCAAACATGAATTTCACTGTGGAGTAGGAAGAAAGGCAGATATAACTCAACACTGCCCAGGAACATGAGATGGGAAAGGAAGGGCAGTGACTGAAGTTGAATGTAGAATCGGGCATTTGTGATTGTTACAAGAGCTGTGGGCAACTTGGTGACTCTGCTCCTATTTATCCTTTGTTTTCAGTGTATTAAGATTCTCCACCCCAAAGTAGGACTTTGTCCTGTTTTGAACTTGCTTTTCCCAAGTCAAATCTCAGTAGCAGGTTATTTTCTTTTAACTTATCTCTGTAATGTCTCCCTGCCGCAAGTCCACATGCATCAGGCATTCTGGTTGTAGGCTCCTCTTAAAAGCCGACGGGCCTTGTTTTCATCTCTGCTTTCTTAAAGGAGTACTTCTGATTGGTCCTTTTGTCAACCAGAATGTACCATGTTCCCCAGTAGATGCCGCTGGTCACCCCCGTGTAGCGTCCGTGGTGGTACTTCCCATTGAGGTTGGCTGCCAGGCAGGAGTCGAACCACCAGCCGGCCCCATAGTACGCACCGCAGTTGCCCATGGGGTAGTTGTCGTTGTCGCTGTCCCAAGTTGTGAAGCACTTGTGATCGTGGTTGTAGTTGCGGCTGTAGCTCAGGGCGTTGCCTGCACTGCCTTGATACTCCCGGGCTGTCAGGCGATACTTGTGGGCCTCGCTGGCCACTTTGAATTTGCGGTAAACAGCATGGCGCTTGACGCCATGCCAGTCCTCCAACTCTATGCGCACAACATGCTGGCCCAGGCGGGTTAAGCTGTGGAGGTGCTCATTGCCCAGCCAGTGCTCCCCTTGCAGGCTCCCAAATCCCTGCCTGTACTCCTGCCAAGTGCGGTTGAAATCCACAGAGCCATCCTGCCGGCGCTGGAACACGGTCCACCCGCCACCATCCGTGACCATGTCGCAGTAAGCCTGGCAATACACAAGACGAAGGTTAATCGGCAGAAGCACTGGAGCGCCTGAAAAAGAGCCCTTGCTCCAGCCCATGGAATCAGGCTGTGACATCATGCTCTCCTAGGAAATTTTCCACTCTGCAGGCAACATCAAGTGCTTAAACAGGTTTAATGGCCTTTGGCTGCTCTAAGGAACTATTTTCATCAGTGGGGAACAGGGCTAAGGAGCTCCAGAAGTGAATTCTCATTACTCTCACTAAATAACCTTTGAAAACCATTCAGATATGATTAATGGTAAGTGGCAGAAACTCACCGCCTGCCTGTTCATGCACCATTTTGGAAATTTTATTTTCAGCAGTTTAGATTTACTTATTTTTGATTCTGTGGTGTCTGTTCTGTGCAGCATTAGTGCAGGAGTGTCCCATCTGGGCATGTATTTATTTTACTAATTAATCAACTGAGTAGTGGATGTTCCCGTTTTAAGAACCACACACTTAGCATTAGGTTTTTGAATTTTCAGTGGCTGCACATAATCTTTCTTGCCATGGGGAACATATCTAACCAGTTTTTTTTTTCTTGATAGGGGACTTTGCAAAGTCCAAGTCTAAAAGGAACTTGGGGACACACTTTGCTCATGGGGAGAGAGGGCCATAAATGCAATGTTAAAAAGGATAATTCTCACCTACTACAGTGGTACATTGGTTCTCGAATGTCTCCGTTGACAAATGCCGAAAACCCCTGAAGTAAATGCTTCCATTTTCAAATGTGCCTCGGAAGTCAAATGGCTTCCGCTGTGTGTTTTTCAATTTTCTCAATTGAATTGAGGCTTCTGTATTGAGTTTTCAGTTCTTGAACATTTTGGAACTTGAACGGTCTTCCAGAACGGATTACGTTCGAGAACCGAGGTACCACTGTACCACCCTTTCAATATATTTTGATGAGCCGGTGTATGAAGGTTCTAATCTGCATCAATGATGGCAAGGCAGGATATTTACTCCAGATTCATTAATGCAAAGTAAAAGCTGTATGATCTTAACAAGGGAAGCAATCTACAGTGAGTGAGTGGGACTTACTTCTGAGTAAGAATACACAGGATTGCATAGCAGATTATCATTCACAATAGCAATACAGAGGAGGATGAATAGAGAATGCCCACTTTAGGAGCAAACCAGTGCAAAGTTTATGTATGGCTACAACTTTTACATGCAGTAACACAAACCAGTGGAGCAAGGAGCTGAATGCATATTGCAATTGTGCTACCTTTGGCCGAACAGAGACCCAGTTGGCTGCATGCATATCTTATTTACTCCGTTAGATAAAACACCTCAAACCTACCTACCTTACCTCAAAGTGTTGACGGAGGGGAATGGGTTGGATGGTGTATATCCCATTGTCTCGGATGCCCTGTTTATGGATCTCTGCACAATCCCGAGGATACGTGTGCTCAGATTTTTCAGAGGGTTCCACTGAAAGTACATGGGAACATAGAAAGCTGACTTAGACTGAATTGGACCATAGGTCCATCTGGAAGGCACAGAAAGATGTAATAAACCACAGGGTCCTGGCAATGGAAACAACAGGTCCTGGACATATGACCTGTCTTGCAGGGATCTTTCTGTGATATGGCACCTAGAAACTGTTACACTTATGCTAAAAAGGGGACAAAGAGTATCCTGCAATATGAAGGCAGGGGCAAGACATACATACTTCTATGAGAGTAGACTTAGATGTTTGGCTGGAAAGCAGGATTGCACCTCCAGAGCAATCTTGGGGCACTGCTGCCTGCTTCAACATGCTATTGGATATGGCAATCAAGGGAGGTCTCCCCAAAGAGTTAAGAAATTATCATGTTGTTCTGGCCAATGTGTATTGGGCTTCACACACTCAGACTGCCTTCAAACATAATGTACAATAGGTGGGTCCTAGGCAGAGGTGGGGAGTTCCATTTGCACACCTGGAGATCCTTGTGTGTAAGGCATCCTTTTCCTCCTGTGACTTGACCAATTTGAAGTGCGAAGCCATTTCCTGGCTTCCCCCAAAGCCCATATTTTCTCCTCCTTGTTTTGGCTTCATTTTAAATTGTAACCTTCTGCACTAAAGCACCATGTATATTGATGGTGTTATATAAAAATGCGTCATCTTAAGGAAGGAGAGACATTGTAGTTTTAATTAATCTTCAGCTGTTGTGGTCTAGCATAGTTTAATTTGGGTTGCAAGTTTATGTTTATGCTGCCTCTGTTGCAAAGAAAGATATATATATATGTTCGTTGTTAAATATTAAAAATTAATTATTATATATTTTATTTGTTTGTAAGCCGCTCAGGGAATGTTTATTGAGTGGCTATATAAATACTAAAGGCACTGGAAGCGGTGAGGAATATCCAAAGGCTCTTTTGCTGGGTGCAAGTGAGGGCATCCCTTTGCCTTTTTTTTCTTTAAAAAGGTCAGTTTATTTTTTAAAATTGTATTTCTCTCTCAATAAATGGGATCAATTTACACCAGTTCTTGGGCTGGAGTAAATTTATTCAAAGTTTTGGCGTGTATCTAGGGTACCAGGAAGGATTCAAATCTTTCAGACCTAAGCCTTGCTGTCACACTCCTTTGGGGTACACACTGCTCTGACACACACCCTTTGTGGCCCTACTGATGATGGAGTCCCAACACCATCAGGGACACAAGATTATGGACCATGATGGAGAGAGGGGACCTGGTCTCCCTCTCAGGTTTCATACGATTGTAGTCTAAGTTACATAATAGATTTATACTAACCTGTAAGTGCTGGTGTCTCCTCAATCTTGTGCTCTTTCCCTATATCTGGGAGATAATTTGGAGTCTGTGAGTGAGATTGCTGCAAAGCTCTTGAGAAAAGCCACTGCCCACTCTATTCTCAATAGTCTGTGACTGAGCTAGTTCAATGCAGTGTTATTATACAGATTTGCTAAGTGTTTGGATAACTTCCCCCCAGGCATTAAGGGGGCTTCTACACAAGGGGGCTCTACATTCCAAGTGGAACATTCAGATCCATTTTTTTCCTGTGAGTGTCATTGGCGCATGGCCCCCTGCAACACACACCATTCTTGTTTTTGTTTCTCTTAGGGTGCCTTGGGACTCCCATTATTTTGTGGGATGGATTCAAGCACGTACCAGAACCTGAGGTTTGCACAGTTAAGGTGAACTAAAGGGCTCTGTCACCTTAGGGCAACAAATCTGCTTTTTTTAAAAAAGAACCAGACTTATAGCAGTTTGAAAAGTGGCAGGGAAGTGCATTGAAAAATATGGGATGAACAAACACCTAACAGGAAACACCCCACAAACAAATCAAGATGAATGCAGGCCCAGTGCTCACAAATGTCATCGATAACCACCCCACAAACCATGCTCAATAAAGACCTGGATATGAGACAGGGATGGGGAACCTGTGGCTTTCTTGGATTCCAACTTCCATCAGCCCCAGCCACCTTGGCCAATGCCCAGGAATGGTGAGAGTTAAAGTCCAATAACACCTGGAGGCCTACAGTAGTTTAAAGTGGGAAACACTGAAAAACACGTTCGTGCATTTCACATCTGAGGACCCAAATGTAAGCCCTAGGCATCTAAGGCTGGGAAGTGGATATTTTCTGTCATCAGCAGCCTTCCCTAAGATTTCACCAGGTCTCCTCCCCTGCCACTAGATAGATCCAGGAGCCACAGAGTTCCCTGTGTGCAGGCGACGAGATGCCCTGATTTCACAGCATCTGGTGCTACCACTAGCTCTGCCTTTTTGACTCTGCTTCTGGCAGCAAAATAACTTGGGCAGGCATTGTGCCGTCTGCTCCCATAACAGCGTCTTTGCATCACTGTCCCTCTTGTTCTTCTCTTGCTCTGGTATAATCAGGGAGGATGTGGAGTGGGAGAGGGCACTATCTGAAGGAAATGATGAACAGTGGGGGGATTGTGTCCAACAGAAAGAATTGCATCATCGGTCAGCCTGATAGCCATAAATGTCAGCCGCAAACTCTTCAAACATATTGCTCATCAATACAGCATCCATCTGTCCGGAAATTCCTGGCGGAACACGGACTGTTGAGATGTTAGACATCAAAAGAGAAAACGAGTGGAACATCTCAAGCAGAAGAAGTGGGGAGGGGGAAGGAAATAATGAAAAATGGTGGAGGAAAAAGCCAGGCAGAGGCGGGATGAGGACTCTGAGGGTTTGAAGGCTTTGCCTGTCCTCGTTGAACCAAAGTGGGAGACAAGACACATTCACAGGACCACTTGAGTGCATGGTGACTTTGATTCAGCAGTGTGGAGCTGGTTAGGTGACTGCTTTGGTGCAAAGCAAGCACTGGAATTTTCTCCATGGTTTATTCTGGCCAGGATGTAGGTTCATGACAATGCCAGGCTCAGCTCACTTGGTATGTGTGCTAAGTTGACCTTGTGAGACTTCAGCATGGGCTTAAATAGGAATATGACCAAGGGTGGAACAAAGGAGCCACAGGAAAACACCCTGGAAGCAAAATAAATTAAAACAATTCTTTTAAAAGATAGTTAAAAAGACTCTTCTTAAAAGCCTAAAAACTCCCTTAAAAGAATCAAATCTTCAAAAAAGTTATATGATCTAAGAAAGTCTTTAAAAGAATCCTTCCGAAAGAATTAAAAACTTACAATGTACCACCTTAGAGACCAACTGAGCAGTTTTAGGTATAAGCTTTCTTGTGTGTGCATGCTTTTTAAGAAGAGCCTTTTTAACTATCTTTTAAAAGAATTGTTTTAATTTATTTTGACTATGGCAGACCAACACGGCTACCTCCTTGAACCCTGGAAGCAAATCAAGATGAAGAATAAATGTTCATTGTCATAATAACCGCCTCATAAACAGAATGAGCATTCAGAATGAATGCTCAGTAAAGACCCGACATGGTCCAGCCACATCATAAGATTTGCGCAAGGAACCCTGTCTCTTTTTGCCTACCTGAACTCCAGGTGCAGCATGACCAAAGCAAGGCAAGAGGACTGCCTTGGCGGGGCATGGCCTCCTTCCCTCCCTGCTCAGCACTCCAAGCTCTGTGTAGGGGGCTGTATCCCAGCAGACTGCTGTGAACTATTTACAAGGCTTTATTTAGAACTTCATAGAATTGTAGAGTTGGAAGGGACCACGAGGATCATCTAGTCCAACCCTCTGAAATGCAGGAATCTTTTGTCCAATGTGGTGCTCGAACCCACAACCCTGAGATTAGGAGTCTTGTGCTCTACTGACTGAGCTATCCCTCTTTTCTCCCAACGAAAAATAGTAAAAACGCAATACAACATCACACACTAAAAACTTCCCTGAACAGGGCTGCCTTCAGATGTCTGTTAAAAATCACACAGCTGATTATGTTTTTGACATCTGCTGGGAGGGCATTCCACAGGGTGGGCACCACTACTGAAAAGGCCCTCTGCCTGGTTCCCTGTAACCTCACCTCTCACAACGAGGGAACTACCAGAAGGCCCTCAGAGCTGGATCTCAGTGTCAGGGTGGGACTATGGGAATACATAGGATTCCCAGGAGATCTCCCCTCCAGGCACTTGCCAGACAGATCTGCTTAGCTTCAGCAAGGCTGCTGCACCATGAACCTTCAGATCACACCCCAGCCCAACCTGGACTGTTTGTGAAGAGAGAGAAGAATCTCACTCTTCACAGTCAGGCAGAATGGGAAGTGGATAACCCCCCTGCTGTACTCACCAAGAATGGATGCCTTCAGGACTGATTCGCTGCAAGGCAGCTTGCAGCCAGAGAGGATCCCCAGCAGCAGGGCCACCAAGGAGCTGAGCTGCTCCTCTAAGCGGTGCAGATTAAGCCGGCTCTCCTCCTGCAACTTCTGTAGGCCCGATGCCATGGAAACCACTCTGGTTTCCACCAAGCTGAGTCGGTCCATCAGGGTCCTGGTCCTGGAAGAGCTTTGTTTGTTGAGCTCTCCAGTGTGCTTCAGGATCTGCTTGAACTCCATCTGCTGCTCGCCAGCAGGGACATCCTGCACCTCCTCAGGTACTGCTGGCTCCTCAGGCCCCAGGACGTGGAGCTTGCAGCTCCCCAACCCATCACAGCCCCCTTCCGGAGAAGGGAGAGGCATGGCCACCAGGGACCCTGCGCACGCTGGGTTGTCATCTCTTTGGCTGCACTCGGGGCTGTCTGAGTTCAGGCTTCCTGACTCTCGCAGAACCATAAAGAGGAAGCCAAGGCAACAAAAGCACTTGCTGAAGCAGGGGAAGAGTTTCATTTCTCTCCTTAATGCCTCCCGAGGGGGTGGGAAAGGCACACGCGACATGCAAGAAGGCACAGGCTGGAAGCTACTGCAACAGAGCTTCTTCTGTCTCCGCAGGCAAGCTGCCTATCTAGGCCGGGAAGGCCACTCCCAGGCTGGGTCAGGGCAAACTGCCTCGCCGAAGAAAAAGTGTGGAGATTGGGGAGCTGCGAGGGAAAGGAGGAGGGAAAGTAGAGCGGCACACAGATAAAGGAGCATTTGAGACTGTCCAGCAGATTAGCATGTCATGGGCAATTAAAGCTAGGCCCCTTGTGGGAGGCAGTGATTAGCGTCTGGCTTGAGTGAGCTTTGCTCTCCAGCAAGAGGGCTTTGACTTGAAAGGCCTGTAATTTGCCTTGACATTAAAGGCACGAGGAAATCGCCCAAATGCTAGCAAGGGAGCTGAGTGAAAGGAGCGGTAATCTCTCGCAGTGCTTGCTAGCCTTTGGCACGGCGTGGCCACCCACCCACCGCCCATTAAGCAAGGCATGTGCTCACAGGCCTCTTCACGCTCCAAGGCCAGAAGGCGTCATGTGCACAGACCTCCCATGCCAGACTTGACAGGCTCACTTCATCACTCCCCAGCTTTCCGCAGTTGCACCGACCAACTCTCCCTCCTTTGGGAGCAGCCTGGATCTCAGATCTCTAAGGCCTCAGATCTTTAGAGCGCTTTGATACCACTTTAAACAGTCATGGCTTTTCTCCAAAGAACTTTGGGTGCTGTGGTTTGTTAAAGTGTAAAGGCCCTCACTCGGTCTCCACCCTCATTGTTCAGCCCCGTCATTGAGGTCCAGCTCCTAGGGTCCAGCTTCTGGCAGTTTCCTCGTTGTGAGAAGCAAAGTTGCTGGGAAGCAGGCAGAGGGCCTTCTCGGTAGTGGCACCCTCTCTGTGGAACACCCTTCAGATGTCAAGGAGATAAACAATCATACGAATTTTTGCAGACATCTGAAGGCAGCCCTGTTCTGGGAAGCTTTCACTGTTTGGTGTTTTGTTGTGTTCCTTTATACTTTGTTGGATAAACCCAGTCAGATGTGTGGGGTACAAAAAATAAAAGCTATCATCATCCTCACCATTGTGCAGGGGTTCTGGGAAGCAGTTCTGAGCAACCCATCTCCAAAGAAAGTAAGCTACTGCTTTCTGATACCCTCTCATACAATTATCAGTGATATAGTCCACTCTTGGAAGTTACAAAGCAATGAGCTTTGGTTGATGTCTCTTATCGCCTCCCCTTAAGTGGACGACTATGAATCTGAGGACACTAAACAAAAGTAGGATACTGTTTCTCATTTTAATTAGGTTTTACTGAAATCCTTTACATCTCTACTTAGAAGAAATCCCCATTCAATGGAGCTTATCCCCAGGTAAGAGGTTATATAGGATAACAGCTTTAAAACTCTGATGGTGTCTAAAAGAATTAAGCAAATGACTGGTCCACCCCACTCTTTAAAAACGGAGCAGGAAGAACATACCAGGTGTTGGGATGTAGTCTTAGCATCTTCTTAGTTGTGTACCTTAAGAGCTCTGTACAGTTGCCATATTTCAAACAGTGAAAATCTGGACAGAAAAGTTGTTGAGTTTTTTGGGAAAAGTTGTGGAGCTTTCATTGACAAAATCACCATTTGTTAAGCTATTTTTATGGAAAATCGGCAAAAACAGCACTGCTGGCATGGGCTGCCATATGTCCAGATTTTCCAATTTCCACCCGGGCTGCAGTATATAGACTGCAGTATTCTGTATATCCCCTGCAACCCTACTTTTAGGCTTGTGAATCACATAATCCGTGCTCTGAGCTAATGTACAGTCTATATCCTGACTTCTTGAACAAAGCTTTCGGGTTTCCTCGAGCTGAGAGTCCGAGTACTGTGTCCGAGAGTGGGAGCCAGGACACCCACAAGGCTGCAAATGGCATCACCTTTGGGGGTTCGCTTTCTAGCTGCCAAACTAGTGAAGAGAAGTAGTTCTGTGCCATCTAGTGGCCAGAATGCTGCACTGTTCTCCCAGTTTATCTTCAACAAGCTGTTTAATGTACAGAGATTGGAACATGGTCCTCGTGGACCATTTGGCCCACTTAGCTCTGTGTTGTCTAAACACTCTGGCAGTGGCTGTCCAGGGGTTTGAGACAGGGAAATTCCCAGGTCTACCTGGAGATTGAAGCTGGGACTTTCTGCAGACAAAGCACGTCCTCTGTCACTGAGCTACGGCCCTTTCAAAAAGGAATGGATTGTATTATAATGATTGATTATCATGCTTGATTCTTCCATCCAGCTCCCATGTACAGTCTGGCTTTCACGACAACGCCAGTTTCTTTATCACACTCCCAACACGGAAGACCATTTCACGTGTCCATTTCCCCCAACCATGTGCGGTTGGGAAAAGCGTGCATTTTCCTGGGAACCATTAAAATGATGAAGTACCTGGTCTTCCCATTGCAGTAAGATGCAGGCCCCAGAAAGGAAGGAAATGAGCAGAGACGGCAGCAAGAGGTGCTACTATGTGCACATTCCCATTTACTCCACATCCAGTGTGCTCCCACCTCTGGGTGTATACACCACATTTACTGTGATCCGTTTTTATTCTGTACCTATCCTGTTGTTTCTTATGAAGTTTAGTGCATTGATATGTTTTCCCCCCAAACCAGCTTTGATCCGAATTGAGTAGAAGAGCAACCCAGCTGTGTTTTAAGCTAGCAACTTGTGCACAGCCTACAGCTGCCTATCAGCCCCGACCCTTGGCTGTGTGGGCTGGGGCTGATTGTTGTCAGATTGCAATGGCATCTGGAAGTGCCCCATGCCAGCCACCTCTGACTTAACCCAAACAGGTAGAGCAGTGAGAGAGCAGGGACATCTTGGGGATAGTCCATCATCTAGTTAGGAAGAGGAACCTAAGAAAAGGAAAAGGGTATAGGAGGTACTATGCAACCCATGCAAACATATGCCAAAGGCTGCTTTACGACTTACAAGCAACAATATTATTTATTTATTTATTTATTTAGACAAGAATACATTCACCCAGAAAGGTTCGATTCTAGGCTAGACGAAAAATCCACAGAACAGATCCAAGAAGGGGAGAGGGAAGACCCAAGCTGCCGCTTCTTATTCATTGCTTAAGGAAAAGGATCTAATCCAGTCTTTATGCTGGGGGGGCTTAAAAATTACTCTCTTTTTTGGGGTCTAGTCTCATTACAAAGGTTTTGGCTTGTTCTTCAAAAATGTTGAGATTCACAAGGTGTAGTGGCTTCTGTTTTACCACTAGGGGGACACACAAATGATCCAATATGGTCATACCAAGTTGGGAAAACATCTAGCCCCCTCTTAGCCAACTTGATCAGATTTCTCCCAAATTTCAGCCCTTGACATAAAGCCGCCTGGGGGACTCGTTGCTTCTTTCCTGCACATACAATAGAAAAACAAGAGTGAATAATGGGCAGTGACAAGGCAGGACATCTTTTTTTTTCTCTCTCTCTCCCCACCCCGCCGTCCAATTTGTCTTCGAGGCTGACATAGGAAAAAACCCCAAATTGCCGCTCTCGCCTTGCACAGTTTTACCACAGTATCCTGAGAAGCATCTGGTGTGGAGCTGATAGCACAGGGGGGGTTCAGGCAGGAGCCCCAGCCGGAAGCCGAAGAGTTAGCAGCGGTTGGGGACCCACTGCTTCTGTCAGGACGTCAGACAGGAAACCTTACAATGGCTCTGAAGCGAAGGCTCTCTGGATCCCTGCCACTGTCTGTTCAGAGAGAGGCAGACACACCAGCCTCCCTGCCAGGGACAGCAGAAGCCGCTCAGAACCATTCCCCGAGGGCCATTTTGTGTGGCTCAACCAGCAAACCATTGGGGCCATAGGAAGGCACTTTGGGTAGCTAGAATAGTAAGAATTACCCTCATTATTCCAGCCCATAATCCTTACCCTTATGTGCATAGTGACAGCCATGTGCCAAGAACCTAGGAGCATCATGTAGCCTCTTCTCCACATGCCTAGGATATGCTCCTAAGCAGCTGCATGCATGCGTAGCCTCCTGGGAGGCCTTCATCCCATTACGAAAGTCTGTCCAAGTGAAACTTTGAGGAAACAGATCGTTGAAGCAAAATTGCATTCCCTTGAGTTCACCCACCCGCCTCCACTTATTTCTGAAGACCAAGCTCCAATGTGCATCAGAGCCTTGAATGAGAGCACCAAATATGTGCCAGCAGAGCTCAGTGGGATACCCCTGTGTTGCCCACATATCTGTGTGGAGGAGGAACATTGATAGATAGATAGATAGATAGATAGATAGATAGATAGATAGACAGAAAGAAAGGATCTCTGAATGGTTTCCTCTTTTTTTAAAAAAATGTTAAGGTGGTGCAGAATCCAAAATATCATGATGATGGCAGAGCACCATTGTGATGGATGGAGCCATTGCAATGGTTATTCCAACCTTCAGATCAAAGCACTTCGATGAACATTGTATTCACTTTTATGGAGTGGGGAGAGTGTCTAAAACACTGAGAAGAACTGTCCCTTAAAAAGGCTGAAGGCAGGCATCTTGCTGTAGTGTTGCTTTAAGGCACTTACCTTGAATAAACCATTTTGTCAGAATGTCATCCAGGATTCCTACATGGCAAGCTTGCTGTAGCAGCAGCAGCAGCAGCAGCAGCAGCAGCAGCAGCAAAACAGACCATATTATGTTGTGAAGTCTAATACTGGAAAATGTATGAATGATCACCTGTCTCCTAAGTGTCTGTATGCATTTTCATCCATTTCCACCAGAAGTATTTGTCCTCTATTCTGTAAGCCTGAAACTCTATGTTAGGGGGTGTCAATATGGTCTCCTCCAGATGTTGTTGGACTACAGCTGCCATAAGCATACATGACCAACAATCTGAGATAATGGGAGTTGTAACTGAACAACTTCTGGACGGTATCATATTGTCTATCACTGCTCTATATGACAGGGTAGATAGATACAAATCACTAAAAAACATGGGAAGTCAGTTTT